TATCACACCTATGTATACTTATTTATTGATTTACATACAATAATAAATAACCAGAAATGTTGAATAATGATTCAGAGGATATTCTATTTGGTATGTTTGAAGGCAATTACAGTGATATTTTTAAAAACCAAATTAAAAATGCAGCACGTACGGCCAAAGGTCGTCGCTACTCTCCTAAAATAAAGCAGTTTGCACTAACGTTACACTATTACTCACCAAAAGCTTATGCTTATTGCCGGTAAATTGCTTGTCTGCTTATTTATTTAATTAATTGTGCATAATTTAATCATACTACTGTTGCTATTTGCTTGAACAAACTTTTTTGCTTATTTAATTTTAAATAGATCCATTCTTAATTTGCCTAATATATCTGCTATACGGCATTGGACATCTGTTATTGCAGAGCCAGGGTTTCTTTCTGAAGTTTTTGATACACCGTGGCCAGCAGATAAACATTATTCGGTGTAATAATATAAAATATATTACTTAATTATAAAACAGAGAACTGAGACATAACAAAATTTAGGCAAATTCTCATTTATAAATAATAAATCTATAATATTGCTATAAATGATAATAATCCAATATTGATAACGTTTGCTTATCGAGTTATCTTCTTTGCATATAGCGTCGTGTTTCAGATTATTTTGTGGTGGTGTATTCGAAGTTGGCTATCTAGTGTTATTATTACACTGTACTCGTAGGACCAACTAAAGTAATATTTCTTCTAAAATCTAAATGATATTAGGAAAAAAAGTAACCGGAAAAAAAATCTCGAAAAAAAATTCCCCTGTGAAAGTCCCCGGTAAAAAAGTCTCACGGAAAAAAAGTTCCCAGAAAAAAGTCTCCAAATTAATATTTGATTTAAATTCAGTACCTATTTTATGCACAAACAAAATATAATATACAATAACATACAATATAATATAGTAACATAATATCGTAACATCTATAATAATATTATTTAAAAAATATAAGAGTGCAATTATTCAGATATAAAATATCTCTTTCTTATATTTTGACCTATTTTCTTTAAAAAATCAGGAATATCTGCAGATTTTTCATCAAAATGCTTACATAAAATGTTCGGAACTAATACGAAACTGAATACGTATGATAGGTATATGTATACCTGATTTGTCAACCAAATTTATTTAAATATAAATAACAATTAATTATAAAAAAAATTAATTATAAATAAAATAACAAGGATAATGGAAATATCGTTTTATTTATACTATAACGAGAGACTTTTTTTCCGAAAGACCTTTTTACCGGAAACTTTTTCACCGAGAACTTTTTTTCCGAAACTTTTTTTCGGGGACTTTTTTTCCATTTACCAATCTAAATTTGGCATACTTGTTTTTTACTTGTTGTAAAAATAAATAACATTCCATAAGCATATGTCCATAGCATGAAAAAAAAACTTTAATGTACCAACGTAAGCATTTCCTTAGAGTCGGGTAGTAACTTATCATCTGGTCTGCTCAGTCTATATCTAACATAATATTATTATAATCAAAAACCATGGAGGGTTTGAATGTACTCCATCCAATTACAAATTGTCAAAAATCAAACTGTAAACATATGCAAGAATCATACAGGGTCACTCTTAAAAAAGAAAAATATTATGTCTACAATAAACACTACTAATATCGCTATCCAGTTGTCGGATTCTAAAACAATACACCAATCGATACACAGAAAAGTGTTTAAAAACCATTTTATCATAATATTTATTAGAATAAACTAGAGTCAAATAATTATGTATACAAATGAATGGACACCATACCAACTACACTTGACATAGATTTATCTAAAGAGAACCGTAAGTCTACTATAGTTGATACGTGGTCGTGAACTTGTTAAATGTTTTTTAATACACATTTTTAAATTTCAATTATGTTTCATTGAAAATTATTAAGAGCTTTCCAGAAACTTCGATTTTTTCGCCAAACTTTCATGTTTTCCATATCTGCACGAGCGGAAATTATTTCATGAAATTGTCACTTTTTCGGTCTCCACTTTGACATTGTGTATTATTTCATATTGTGCTAACTAATTTGTGTACCACACAGGATTTTTAGATTCATTATAGTCAAATACTTTAATAATTTGTTAGCAGCGACTTTCAAATAATGCAATGTATTTATATTATTACCTGGCTATCAGGAACAGAGATGGAACTAGGAATTTTTACGCCCGGGTAAAATATTAAAATTACGCCCTATCCATAGACTAATAAACAAATACTCAAATAAATTGTGTTCTTATAATCAATATACAATCGTACTTATTGAGTTTTAACCTAATATCAGTATTTAACGAAGTTAAAAATATCAAATTAGTTGTTAATAATTACGAAAATTACACCCTCTAAAATGTTACGCCCGGGGATAAATCCCCGACTTCCCCCCTCTAGATCCAGCCCTGATTCAGGAATGTTTAAAATTGATTGATTTTGATGTAATGTCATGTCAGCAATTTGGTAATATCTAAATATTTAAGAGTATGGTTGCTGTGTGGATTAAATTATATTGTACAATATTATTAATGTGTATTAATGGCTTCACCCGATAAGTATTCCACTATTTTAAAAAAAAAAATGAAGTTGAAAAACTACTATTTTTTTTTTAATATAAAATTAATATCGTTTAAACCATATTTAAGTTTAGCTAAGTATGGCATAAGGTTATTTTTGGTCAAAAATAATCAATGTTACAAATTACAAATTATGTTAAATTATTGAGAAAATCTACAGTTTATTATTCATAGTTTTAAGATATATGAATAAAACAAAATTCAATATATGTCACTTATTTTCTGAAAAGAGTTATTAAGTACTTCTAGCACAGAAAATACCATATATCATGTACCTATATTTAAATATTGGTTGACTGAATATGCTTATTAAACATACTTATGTAATTTAAAAAGAGAAATACAAAACTAGCTTAACATATTCAAATTACAAAAAATCTGAATCAGATCAAAAAACATTCTTATTTTACTATAAATCAGGGATGGGCAACTCAACGTTACTGGAGGGCCAATTTTTAGAAAATTAAAATCCAGCAGGCCAAAGCATAGGAAAAAAAAATACGATGATAAATAAAATAAATAAAAAACAGTCGGTAAACGGAAAAAAAGTCCCCGATGAAAAAGTCCCCGATGAAAAAGTCCCCGGTAAAAAGGTCCTTCAGAAAAAAAGTTCCCAGAAAAAAAGTCTCTCGTTACAGTATAAATAAAACGATATTTTCATTATCCTTGTTATTTTATTTATAAAATGAATTTGGTTGAAAAAATCTTATCTGTAGATAAGGTATACATATATCTATCATATGTATTCAGTTTTGTATTAATTTCAAACATTTTATGTAAGCATTTTGATGAGAAAAAATCTGCAGATATTCCTGATTTTTTTAAGCAAATAGATCAAAATATAAGAAAGAGATATTTTATATCTGAATAATTGCACTCTTATATTTTTTAAATAATATTATTATATATGTTTAAGATATTATATTATTATTATATTATTAATTAATATTAATTTGGAGACTTTTTTTCCGGGAATTTTTTTCCGTGGGACTTTTTTACCAGGAACTTTTTTTCCGAGACTTTTTCCGGACACTTTTTTTCCTAATATCAAAACAGTCAATACATTTGCATCTAATAGTTTATATTTTTCTTTTATTTCTGATAATATTTAATATTTCTTCCATGTAATATAAAAATTATTATATTAGTATTAAAGATTTATTTAGTTTATAAATGGATGTATCTATGTTTAAATCAATTTTTTGTTTCGGGCATTTTTTGTTGCCGTCGTTTGAAGTTGTTACAAATATTTGACATTAAAATGATCTTTTACTCTACACTATATAAAATCGAACTTTGTTGTTCAGAATTTCTTGCGCCCAAACTATGATTTTAACATGATGAGGTTTCATCCCCCATCCCCTTCTTATGTAGTTGATGTTGGAGAAAATTAAGTTAACCGTCCTGATGACCGCTCCATCATACAATTCTAATTAAATATCGTATAATTCATGATGATATGTGTAGTTTCACCACATTTCTTTAATATAACAATTAAATAAAACAAAATAAGGAAAGATAATAAAACTAACTATATTATGAAATAGTCCCCATAGATAGACTAGAGGTAATTTTTTTATTAAAAGCAATTAGGTTCATCGAGAAACTGTATAACAAATGTTAGAGCCATTTTATTCGATGTTCTTGTGTACAATCCAATCTATTGTTACTTTTAATTCCTATTGTGTACATTTAATTGAAATATTTATTTATTTGTTTTATGTTATGGAGTAAATGTTAGTCATTCTTTTTACATGTATTTGTCTTATAATTGAAATATTTTAGCTATTCTAATTTTTAATATTGTGAATTTTATAAAATGTTGTCTGTTTTAGCGTCCTTATAGCAATATACTGATTTTTTACTAAATTGATAAATTTTCACCTAATTGAAATAAATCTGATTTAAAGTTCCTAATTACTGCGTTGTGTGAAAACCTCTAATTGTTTGTAAAATTATTTTTTTTAGAATTATGTATAAGTAAACAAATATCCTACGAGTGTTTAAAATATACCTAAGCATATAGCGATTTCATCAAATTTTATTTATAAATGTAATATTTTATTACAAGAGAAAACATAAATAAATAATAAATAAAACTAGTACTGTTCAACTATAATCTTATGTGGTTTTGTTTTAGGTTAAGTTAAATAATAATACCTGTGTTTTTTTGGCTAAGTCCATAATTACACAAATACTTAATGCTTAGCTATATAAATATTGAAATTTAATATAGATATATATATATTTGTACTATCACAAAGGCATGGAATGTGATTTGGCATTGTTTATCTATCTTGATGGTCTATGATGTAAAATGACCTGACTGTTATCTATATCTGAAGCGCCAACGATTCCGAAACATGATAACAATAAAAAAGTTGTTATCAATATTTTCAAAGTGCATTGATAACTTTTATAGTTTTTCATAGGAAACATTTTTTTTTCTTATACCAACGAGAAATTAAGTATTCCTGATTTCTTTTTTTTGAAAATATCCGATCACCTACCTATTAAATAGTCTTAAGGATGTCTATAAAACTGTTCAAATATATTACCAATAGTTGTTTAAATAGTAGAACAGTAATGCGATTTATGAGTACTACAAATAACGAAAAACTGTAAGTAGTTTCATCATTTGAGTTTTTCTTTTGTCCATGTACAAGTATTTAAAGTTTTTTTTTCTAAATGTCATAGAAAATAAATACCCTTATTACTATCAAACTTAATTGTTTTCATACAGAATTATTTTTTTTTATTATTTAGAACATTTAAAAACTAAAAACCATGACATGGTTTAATGTTTAAGAGTAAAATCTTTGAATTTTTTAGAATTTTTATAGAAAACCATAAATATTACTATTAAAATTATCAACTTAACTGATTGTTTTTTGCAACTATTTCTAATATTTTATTAATAAAAATAATTAATATTTTACTGTTTGTATACTTGGAAATTTTATCTCTGATCTTTAGATTAATAATATGTTTGTTATCTTATAATTTTTTTATGATTTTATAAATAATTTGTGTACTTAAAAATACAATTATATTTTATCCTATGTATAAAATATCTACTTTATATTTTCAGAATTAGAGTAAGTTTTAATAAAGCTAATGGTGACAAAATCACTGCAGAAGGGAAAAAAGGAGATTCTCTATTGGACGTTATTGTCAATAATAACCTAGATTTTGATGGATTTGGTATAATTATAAAGCATTCATTAAGTAATCTTTGCTAAAAACTTGATTTGAAGCTTTTCAATGTTTTACTTTCAGGGGCATGTGAAGGTACATTGACATGTTCTACATGTCATATTATTTTAGATCAAAAAGATTATGATTCATTACCTGAAAAACCATCAGATGAAGAATTAGATATGTTAGATTTAGCATATAATTTAACTGATACGTAAGAATATAGTTAAATCAATTTAACTAAATTAAGATTTTATAACTTATTTATTTATTATTAAAAAAAAAAATGAATTACCAACCCTCGTATTTATTAACATTACTTCAACATATTGTTCAAGCAATTTTTATGTAAAAAAAGAAAACCGATAATAAATTAATTTGAGTTAAAAAGTACATAAAGTTGGTTAATATATGGCTATATATGAATGACCCACTTTTCTATCAGTATTTGATTAATATTATATTTATTTTTAAGTATCTCTGACATTCCATTACCCTTATTTGAACACTAAATAATTATCTGCTATAATTAATGCTGTTTCAATATTAAACTTTTATGTATTATACATTAGAATAATAAATATTCTGCTTCAGAATATGAGATAAAAGTAATCATTTAAATAAATTAGAAATTTAAATACTTATCATTACAATAAAAATGGTTTTTTTTTCTGCAGACAGTTGTGTAATAATGTCTTCAAAATTCAAATTAGGATTAAAAAACATCTTTTCAAAAAAAATATAGTGGACATTAATTATAAAAAAATGTATTTATTATTTAGCATTAAAAATAATTAAACTAACCAAGTTTTTAAATATATAGTAGATTATGAATTGTAACACAATCCTGATTCAAATTTTTGTAATGCCCTATATTAACAACAATTTAATACATAGTTCCTTCTGAACTTAAATAAATAATTCTATAAAAATTAATTTATTATTTTTATAATTCTTGTATAACTCATAATACTAACAAATAGGTTAAAATAAAATATAAAATGTTCTTATTACAATAAGTTAGTCATAATTTACTATTAGGTATTCTATCTCTAAAATTGATTAATTTTGTTTCAGATCTCGATTAGGATGTCAAATAATATTAGAAGATAAATTAGATGGTTTAGAAGTCAAAGTACCAGCAACAGTTAATGATGCTAGGTATAATTAATTTAATATAACATGTATATAACATTTATATAATAAAATGTTAAGTTACAAATTTTTATTATTATTTCTATTAACATGGGTCAGAACTAAATAGAACAAGGAATTTACATTTTTACCTAAAATGAACTGTAGTTAAATGTATTTAATAGGCTTATTAATAATATTTGTAAAAACATCTCAGAATATTCTTTTATCTTTATTATGCAAAACCAAGTTATTTGGTTTTAAACATAGGTTTAAGAACCTTATATCTCAGTTGTGTCCATTTATTTCATTACCAATACATAGTTATGATAGTAAATTGAAATTATAAATTAAAATATAAAATTATCAAAATATAAACATTTAATTTATATTAAATTTTATCTAATATTAAAAAAAAAAAAAAAAAAAAAAAACAATTTCTTAAAAATTAAGATATTTGATTCATTTAGGTTTTGATACTTAAGCTTATACAAGTTTTCAAATTTTTTTAAAGTTTAGAAATCAGAAATTGGGACATGTTTGCAAAAAGAGCTTTCCTAATTTATTTAAATATAAACCATTAGACTTAATATAATATCCCTATGATCAATGTATTTATACATTTTAAATTTCATTGTATGACTAAATTATTTTATTGTGTTAAAGAATATATATTATTTTAAAATGACTTTATCTTAGTTCTGACCAATAATATATAAACATTGTTCGTGAATGGCATATCTAGTAAAGAAACTCTTCCCTAAAATTTTGGGAGATCTTTAATTTTATATTTTAATAATAATTGATACTTAAGTACCAAATGGTATTTTGATAGCCTAATTTGATCACACAATACATGATTTTTATTTTTTTAAATATTTAATACTTATGTTGCTGCTATCATAATTTTTTCCTAATGTGATATGTAAATAATCAGTACACTCCCAAAAACTTATTCCTGGATATGCCACCACACATCATGTATTGTTTTTAATAATTAACAAAAATGTATGTATATTACATTTTGCAAAAATTGTTTAAATTAATATGTATGAGTATAATAATTAAATATTAAAAATAATAATGACAATATTTTAGAATTTTTATATTCTATATATTAAATAAGTATATATAAATAGTTTCGAAAATAATATTTTTTTATATGTTTAAAAATTAAATAATTATTGTGACAATTCATTAATTAATCATAGAATTATAGATAGTTTTGATTAAAACTATTATTTCATATGCATATAATAGGATTTTTGTATATTTATACATGTTTATTTACACAAACACATTTTTATTTCAGAGACTAAAAATATGTATGTGAAATTACATTTAGCTATAAATGTTATATATGTATGGAATGTTAACTTCGTTGTTGCAAGTAAATATAAGTATATATGTGTTAGTTAATCAAATTTAAATCCTTTTTCTGTAAGTGCTATTTTTGCTTCCTTAATTTCCTATAAAACAAAATTTGATTACAATCAAACAACTTAATTCTATAAACCAATTAAACTTGAAACTTACCATTTGTAACTCCAAAGCAGCTGATTTGCAATCATTGAAAGCTGATACTCTGTACAGTATAATTCCCAATGAAACTACCTAAACATGAAATATGATTATTGTGAAAACTATATAACCAGTCAATAATCTTATTGTGTACTTACCCCAAAAACAATTAGTAAAATTATTGGAATAAATTGAATAATGAAAAAATATTCATTATCATATTGGTGAATTAGTAAACTGAACCATAATACACATAATATGTTAAGACCGAAAATCCACTGTGATAATTTATTCATTTTAAAATGATTGTAGTATACTCACTAACATTAATTAAATATGAAATGTATGTACTTATTTGCAGTTTTAAAGTTTAAACCGCTAATTCTCTCGTGTTTTTCACTTGCTCGGTATCAATTTAACACAATCATTTTTATCATATGTTCTGATAATGATAAAAATTAAATTAAATTTTTTATATCTATGAAAAATACCGTTTATGAGTGATAAGAATGAAGTCGTTTCAGCGACTTGAATATTTTATGCAACAATGTTCTATTGTCTAATTAATTTCTTTAAATCAGTTTTATACCTCCTTGTCAAATGTGTTAATTTATATAAATCAAAAAACAACATTAACCTTGACATTGTATTCAAATCTAATGATTATATAATTGTCAACAAACCCGAAGACGTGTTTATAAACAATCATAACAAAGAAGTCAGTTTGTCCATCGACATTAATATCACAAAATAGATTAATAGTTTAATCTATTCTGTATTAATATTATTGATAAACATCTGGTATTCGATCAACTGTAAAATAAATCATGCGTTTTGTTTTTGCAGAGACCATCTTTAGATATACTGCTAGGAAAGAAGTATCCACATTTAGTGAATAAAAATTTAGAACATGGTTTCTATTTCGTCCACTGCTTGGACTATGTAACAAGTGGTGTACTGTGCATTGCACTTAACAAGCAAGCATGTAGTGCAGCATCCTATGCTATGCAAAAAAGAACATCCCGAAAGTACTACATAGCATTACTCAGAGGTCACATGTCTACGAACAGTATGGATTTAATATATCCAATAGGTAATTATATAAGTAACAATGAATATCATATCAATAGACGATTGTAAATGACTTGAGAGAAAACTACAAATTATAATTGTTGTTGTAAGAACTACAGTTGTTTATATGATGTCATATTCCTTGTTTTCTAGGGTATTGTTCAAAAGAAATTAATGGAAACAACAGAATGTGCACTGCAGAACATGAATGTTGCACCAACCCACGTAATGCACATACACGACTAGTGGTGTTGGAGCGTGGATTGTACATGTCATATCCAGCAACCAAAGTGCTGATGTTGTTAGTTACTGGACGTCGTCATCAGATAAGAGTGCATTGCTCAACCATCGGTCATACCATTATTGGGGATTATACATACAGTGATCGCAAAGATACAAGTCCTAGTAGAACATTTTTGCACTCATATAGGTATTTATTGAATTTCTTTAACAATGGAAATATTTTATTTTCAATAACATTGTTTGATACATTTTAGACTAGAATTGGGTGTTGCAAATATAAATGTGCAGACAAATGATCCTTTTACGAGAAATAAACTTAATGGTTTATGGATACCTGTAGAATTTATCAACAAATTAGGAGAAAATTGCTTTGAACTGTTTAGTTGAGAATTTATTATTAATTTATTTTGTAAGAATTACAATGTATAACTAATGTATTTTTAATAATTTAATTAAGTTTTTAATTTATTAATTATCATTGTTGATACATTTTACATATATTATTTTTTCTAATAAATTATCAAGATAAATTAAATATAATATTTATATTTTCATAGGTATTTAGAAATAAATGTATGTGCTCACTTTTCATTGTTCAGTTATATTTGTGATCATCATAATTTAAAACAAATATATAATCATTAATAACTCTTGAAACACTTTTTTGTGATACTGAAACAAACTAACATATTTAACACTAAATATGTATATCATTGATAATTTTTGAACCGGAAAATATTTTAATTTTTTTTTTTAACAACAAATTGCTGTAACTAAAATATAATAAACCTAAATATATTATAAAAGTGATGTTAAAAATACAATCAATTATTAAATGATTAAATGTTGTCTGTTGTAGTTAGGACTTAAAAAATTTTAAATTGAAAATCAAAAATACCTTAGTTATTTTTTTGTTTTTGTAAATTGTGTAAAGTTATTTAATAAATTTAAGATTTATTTAGTTATTGTAGAGAAAAAATCTCAAATTGAATAAACACATTCAACTATTAGTATTTATATTAATTTGTTATTTGAGTGATAAGAGCAGTTCCTTTAAGGATCCAATAATTATCTGGGAAATCTGTTGGTAGTAAAACGGAAATAACATAATTATTTCTATGTCTTGTCATTGAAATAAATTCAGCTCTGCTACCGGTTATATACATGGGACAGTTATATCGCGAACCATTGTCATCCAAATCAACAGCAGGCACAAGTTGAATGACGGGCAACAGAGGATTCATATCTCCTTCAAATCAAATATTAAGGTTATCATTAATGTTTGGTTTATTATTTGATAATTCACAATGTGATTAGTTTCTACCATGAATAGGATCCACGAGACGTTTAGTATTTAAATCAATGCGTCCACCCTCCAAGAACAGACCATGTATGTAAACTCCATCATCTTGTGTTGTTAGGCCTTTGTAATCATTGTGTTCCTCTTTCAAGCTAGCCGCACGTATAGCGGCAATTTCTTCTTGAACCAACACGATAGTGGTAAGCTTGAAATCCATTTGTACCCTGTCGATGGGTATACTATGTTTTCTGGCATATCTCTGTAGGCAACCAGTCATAAAACCTCGTGGAAAATATAACCCAGATATCCAGTAAGAAGGAGGATTTCCAAACTTCATCCAGATCTAAGACAGTTTCAATAAATTCGTAACAAGTAAAATAATATTTATTATTTAGGTACTCGCGTCGTTTGCTATCTACCTGTATTTTGATCGGCGTTGTGTATTTACTTTTTGAATGATATCTACGTTGTGCGAAAACTGTTATTGCAGATATAACCGTATAAATATAATCATCAATAATAAAATCTATTGCATGCCCAGACAAAACCTACAATCTACAAAATGCGTGGTAGAAAATTGTAGAAAACATACAACGCCAACAAACAATTGTGGAAGATACATTTTTCAGTAGTATAGCATACGACGCGAGTTCTATTATTTTATTTTTTGCTTTTCAGTTAATATCAATTAAGGCTAAAATTAATTGTTTGTAATAAAACATAACTTACGTCGATGAAATCTAATCTTAATACTAAGTCTTTAATCCAACTACCCAAAGTTTTCAATGAAGGATATCCTTTGTTGAGCCATGTTTTTGGCACCTATTTATTGTTATAATTTATTAATCGAAATAAAAAAAAGGATGCACTGTAAATTACACTATTTTTCATTAACGATGAGTAAACTTCTTCCAATTCTGTAGACATTACCACGGACCCTTTGATTGCCTTACGTAAGTCGTGCAATGAACTGTGTATGACGTCAAGTAATTCTATATAACGACTGATCTCTTGTAATAACACTGTAGATAACGGGAATAATCGTCCTTTTTCGTCAGTTTTCATTATTGTGAAATGTACCTGTTCGATCATTATAGTTTTTACGAGTCTTTCAGAAATATCAATGATAATTTCTAAAACAATTTCGTCATCAGATTTCTTAGTAGCATGTATGATTTGTGATTTTGGATAAATCTCAATGATTGTCTTCAGCATATCTTTGGTCTCTTTAGCCTTAAATGAAATTATTATTAAGTATGGAAATAGTTTTCACTTGAAACTAATTTTATAATAAAATCTATACTTGATAAGCCATATTGGCATTTTCGTGCATTCCAAATACTTCTGAATCTTCCATTACTGGTAATTGATCAATAAATATCAGATAATTGTCGATAGTGGTACAGTTTATCGATTCCGGGCAAAAGTAAATACCTGAATTCGAGTATTTATAATCTACCAAATAAATAAAGTTGAAGTTTAAGCTAAGCTTATAATCGTTCGTTATACTTATATTCTTTACTTGTCTCGAGAGTATGTGGACCTAAGAAATTTTTAAGTATCGCTTTCATAATGTTTCGATCCCAAGAATCGATGACTCTACCACCATAAACGACCTCTCCAATGATATATTGCAAGACATCCCAAGGTATTTCTTTCGCGGTCAAACAATACATGTGTGACAAGAGCATAGTACATTCGTGATCGATGTCGGTAAATGCATGTGATATGTTCCAACCGAACGATCCGAATTTCTTTCTCTCTATCACGATGGCGTGGAAAAAACACAACCCGAATATCATTTTTCTCCAATCGGATTTAAAAGCTGTCGTGAAAATCAGTAAAAAGTCGTAAAAAGTGTGTTTTTAAAGTAAAATCACATAATTTACCGTTATCTTCAAAAAAGTCAACATTCATGTCTACAAATAATCTTTTCAGGTTTGCTCTTAAACCTTTTGGTGGTTCATAAGCAATTTTTAATGAATTTTGAAGTACAAAAATGGGAAATTTTTTTGATGGCATTGAACTAAAAAATAGTCTAAAATCTTCTCTGACACATGATGGATTCCCGATCAATTCTTGGACTAAATTTTCCATTTGAAGCATCCACGATGATTCTAAATGACAATTCTAAAAATAATTTAAAATATAATTTACATTAAACATCATATTCGCACTATTTTTTTTTTTTTTTTTTTTTTTTGCTAAGTATTAGGTAGGCCATTCGTCGCAACCATCATACTCTCCATCCTTCTCTGTCCTTAGCTAGCTCTTCCCCGTGTATTATTCCTAAGTCACTCTTAACTTTGTTTACCTTTTTTTGTTTTAGCTTTTCTAATGACCTCTTTTCACTGGGGATCCATTTTGTTGCCTCTCGAATTATCTGGTCTTGTGCCCTCCATATATGTCCTGCCCAGCTAATACGTTTGCTTTTCAGCGTCGCTACTATGTCTGCCTCACTGAATAATTCCTTAAGTTCTAAATCGGTCCGTTGTTCCCACAGGCTGGTTGAGTGATATTTTTATGAGCCAAATATGTTTCTTAGCACCTTCCTCTCAAATGTGGCTACTTTTTTCTCATCTGTTTTTGTAGTAGTCCATGTTTCACTCGCGTATAAAACAATTAGATGTATAACTACTTTGTACAATATAGTTTTTGTTTTAAATGAGACAAACTTAGAATTGAAAACAGGTTTTAGGGCGAAGAGACATCTATTAACTGTATTAATTCTTTGTTGGATTTCACTATGGTTTAATACGCATTAAAAATCTACAGAAAATTAGAACATAATAGTTGTGCTTTCTACTTCTATACTGCATCGATACCGCCAGTTTTGATATAAAAATAATAATGGAACCATACTGCATACCACCGCATTTGTGTGTGTAAATAAAATATAATATAGATGTTCGAAATAATTATTTTCATAAAATATTATTCTGTTTATAAATAAATTTATATAACTAGACGATTACGTAAAAACCGTTTGGACCTTATGGCCAAAATACCGTGGTGTGTCGTAAATCAAAGATAGTTGCCAAACAATTACGCACAACTTTTTGTTTTCGACGAGCTCTTGCTACGAAAGATCTGCTGTGTAATTTCAAATGTGTGAACTAACAAGTTACAGTCAATAGGTAATCAATATTCATATGTTTTGTTTAGTTAATTTGTACATAATATATAAATATATAAATGGTTTTTATTAGTTATTTTCAATGAATTGCGTTCTTTGATTGTCTTAATAAATAAGTAGATAGTATACATAATATAGTATACTATAATATTCCTATATTATAGGCAATGACGCCGTGAAATAATATAATTCCCGAAAAAAATTTCAAAAAGAAAAAAAAATCGCCAAGATCAAAATTAGAACTATTATATTCTTGCAAGAATATAATAGTTCTAATTTTGACGAAAAAAAACCTTTCCAAAAAATGCACTAATAAAATACTAAGTTATAATGCTAAATACATACTAATTTGATTTAAGCTCACTAAAAAACTTTACTACTAACATTTTACTTCTACTCATACTAATTGGTCTGGAGAGGAAGGAGCCAATACTTCTAGTTCCGACCCTGCCTAAGAAACATAATTTTTTTATAATGGGATCGGTTGGCATACTTAATATAATTAATGATGGAGGCTAATTGAAAACTTGAGGGATGTTATATTTTTAATTTTTAGTTGGCCCATGAGTATTTAAAAAAGTACAATATAATTTAATAATGTTTTAGTGAATAAATATATAAAATATTATTAGGTAATACCTGCAAGAATATCCAGTCTCCTTTTTTTTTAGCATTTTTTATTAGTTTCTCTGCCTTAGGTCCCTGGTCTTGACCCATTGATATTACATGTAGCTTATCTATCATTCCGAATTCTACAGCAAACTTTTGGAATGCTCCAAATGGATCCGAGCCTGGACTTAGAATGAATATTAGTGGCATCGTCGATGTTGTGTATTTGTACAACGAATTAATCGAAACGTCTGAGCTTTCGATAAACGATTTTCCAAGTTCTATGCTCACGTAATTAACGATTGCGATCATTAATTTTTCATCTGAGAGACTTTTAATGAGCATAAGTTTTTCAAATGAATTTAACAATGAGTTCCAATTCACTGTAGTGTCACTGTTTTCACGGTCTAATTGAATGCTATAAATAAAATCGCCTAATTTGATTTCTATATAATTAGTGCAATGATCGGGAAGATCCTTAAATTTTGGAAAAATGTCTGCCATATAGTTTACGGTTTTCCACTTTTCTTCTGACAATGCGACCGGCCCCTTCTTATTATCTCGTTTTGTAGTCCCTACTGGTCCATGTAGCAAAAAATTCCACTGAGCATTCGTAATTTTACCTTCTTGTAAATTAATATTTACACTGATTAGAAAACTAAATATCAATTTATGACGTTCAAACAAGCCTCTAGAAACATTCGTATACACATCCACAGTTATATTTTTAACCATGGTCATTATTTTCTCATCAAATGTATTTTTATTACTACTATGTTTGATCGCGTTACAAAATATCTAAAATTAAATGTAATTGTTTACCAGAAGAAAATAGCTAACGTAATCAAGGTTAAAACTTACGGATTTAAAATATTTCAAAGAAAATTGGTACATATTCTCAATCTCAGACAGTTGAGCAACAACGAAATAAAGACATGAACCTCGTTTTGCTACCGCGCGATAACGCTCTCGTTCGTTATGCGTTCTTCGTTCCGTTTCTTCTACGTCTGTTAAACGTCCAGAAATGATCATAGACGTCTCCTAAAAATGATATAATATAATAAACAAATATTATAAATATTATAAGTAACTATTTAGTCCACCTTGCTATTGTTTAACGTCTCAATGAGTTCTTCGTCATCTAAGATATTTCCTTCTGACATGTACAACATTCTCAACGTTTTATCTTCCATTTCATTTAATAAATTACTATCATAATTCATATTAACAATTGTCTGAGTTCGTTGATCTTCTAAGTCAGGCTTTTCTAATCGTACAATATCACTATAAGTATTATTAATATTGTATAGTATATAATTTAAAGTTGTTTAATTTTTTTAAAATATTGATGAGATTATTTACGCCAATAATTGATCTTCTAAACCTGAGGGTGTCACTGTAAAATTTACTAACGTAACAATTATACATATATCTGGTAGGTAATATGGATTTGCTAATTTGGTTGTCATATATAATCTAAATCGACTATCATATTCTATATCTATGATACCAATACGCATTAAAGTTCGTTCGTCCTAATAATTAAATAATAAATATTATAATTTTAAGCTTATACATTATATATGATTTTAAATTACTTGTATTCTTATATTATTTTCCAATATTAGTCTCAGTGTAGGATCAATGTGTTCTCCTAGACCTTCCATCAAAATTGGACATCCTAGTCTAATTGCATTAACAATTACGTTCATCAAGTCCGAATCCGTACTTTTGCATATTCTTAGCGAATTGTCAGCTTCTAATGATTTAATCCAGCTACTCCCTTGTTCTTGAGGATCTATCATAAGAGGCCTTCGACTTGTTCTCGTCACAATTATGGCACTGTCCGTTGACACAGAATCTACAGGAAGGCCACAGATATTCCACGACCGTAATTCAAACGAATCGATTAATATAGAGCTCAGTGAATAATTAGGGGAATATTTTATTCCATGCTCGGTCAATTGTGCAAACCATAATTGAGTTATTTTTTTACGATAATTATCCGTAAAAGGTCCTAGATAGTTAACACTTGCTGCGGCTATTAAAGTGTCACCGGCAACAGTTGATAAACATTGAGAAAACATCTAAATAAAACAAAAATATCGTCAACTTAAAAAACACAACCTGGCAATTAATAAAATAAAGTACTTTAATATTTTTTTCCCATCTGTGTTGTTCATCACTCAATGCAACAACCAGTAAATCGGATCGTTTTAATCGCGCTTGCGTTCTATCAATGTTTAACTCAAGTTTGTTTTTTTCCGCAACACTTTGATCATAAATATCTTCAAGTTTTTGTAAACGTTCTTCGGCGTCAGCTAACAATTTTTGCTTTGCTCTTAGTTCTTTTAATACTACATTTAGTTCATCTTCGGCTTCTTGTTGTCTAAAATCACAATGTAAAATCGAATTCAAATATAAAATCTTCATAGAACTTTGCTGAAGGTAAAAAACTATACTTTCAATCGAATGAAAGGTTATATATGAATGATTTTATAATTGAGATTTATTTATGTTAGGATAAAATTTTGTTTTATTGTGATCAACCGTTAGTTCTTTGTTGATAATTATCTAAATGATTCGTAGTGAATTTCAAATAATAAAATATGAAAGATAAATTCTTACTTTTTTCTTTTTGGCTCTACAATTCGATATACTAAAGAATAACTGTGAACAGCTCGGACCCACATACACATTGATTTAGCAACTTTAGATTGAGTAGCTACTTTCTGTGGATTAAAATCGGGATTTTCTATATAAGGTTTTAGTTGGTTTATCATTTTATCAGATATATTATTTATATCATAATCTTGTAGAGATTTTAGAAAATTAACATCACCAAGTACGGCTTTAGCGGAAGTCCAATCCGTTCTATAGAAATATTAAAACGATATTACTATAACAATTATTATTAATACATAATTTATTTATATTACTTTTTTGCTAATAATAAACATACAGCTTCCATAACAATTTGGACAAGTTTGGGAGGCTTATTAAATACTCTTAGCTCGTTAATATCATTTTTGTTTAGAGATTCTAATGCTTTTATGGCAGCTTCCATTGCTGGCATTGCTAAGGTCAAATCTCTTTGCGCATCTTCAGCTATTTCTTGAGCAGCAGAGGCTTTTAGTTTTGCCGCGGCTTCTTCCGTCATTACAATTTCTCGTACTTTATCCACGCTTGCTTTTTCTTTTGTTAAGGTTACGGTTAATTTTGATGTAACTTCATTTTTTTCTAACAACGCTGGTGCCATTTGTTTTAATTTTGTTTTCATTTCACCAACCATATCAAAAGTTTCATACAATTTTTGTAGACCATTTGAAATTCTGTTCGATTTATTTTTAATCTTATTGATTTGAATTTCGTGTGTTTTCACATAAAATTTTAAAAATTCCAAAAAACTTTTCGGTGTAACATAGTTATACCTTTTTATTTGCTCATAAAACCTGTGTGTATAATGCATAACTATTTCATGCATTTTATTACATACATTTGGTAGACTTTTAACTATATCCGAATTTTCCGATTGTTCAAGTATATCTATGCTTTTATTTGCAAATGATAAAAGCGCTTCTGTTGGCCAATTATCAAACCAATCAATTGTCAAATTATTTACCAACGAAGGAAATAAACGACATCTTCGTCTAAATGAATCACCGATTGGGCTCATACATACGACTAGATGAAGTTTCGACTGTACCCGCTGTATAAAAAATTTAAAGATATCGTCTCGATGGTCACTATTGATTCCTGAATTGATAGCTGCTTGCCGGCATGCAGTTATAACTTTTTCTAAGTCAGCAAGCTTAAATAAATTTGGTACTTCCCCTAAGATAAAACTGTAATTATTTTACCTATATTACATTATTGAATTCAATAAAATATATCGATTTACCTGAACTTAAAATATTACTTAAATCCTCTAAAAATTCTTCTTTTATAATTTGATTATCAGTGAATAAAAATGTTGTGTCTTCAAATTCAACTCCAGTTTTATAATATAGAGTCACTAAATTATCGCGGAAAGAAGAATAGTCATAAGATGTTGCAAATTCAATTTGAAAAAATCTGTATGTATTACATATTATTAATTAAATAAATACATTTGTTATACTTATAAATGTATTATACTTGTAAGTGTTAAGATGTGAAGCTAATTTAGTTAAAGATTGCTTGCCCATTCCACTAACTCCTATGAGTAAAGCATTTCCTCTTTCTAATCTCAATATCCTTGCTATACGTGTTATATGCTCAATTGCATACATAAAAAATATTATTTGCAAATCTTTTTTATAAACCGTATTAAAATCCATTAAATTTTCAGCCAACACGATTTTTAATTTTTCAATATTTGTTATTTCATTGTAAATTCTATTCTCGTTGGAAATCGGATTCATAAAATCACCAAACAGCAGAATTGGAGCACCTGTTTCATCATATTCAGAAAATTCTAATTCAGTGTTTTCAAAAAACTGAGCACACACGGATTTAAGAAGCTTGTGAAAATATAATTTGTCTTCATGGCAAACTAAACGATCATGATACACTCGTAATGATTCATGATACCAAAGCCTGAATAAAAAACACGTACAAATTTATTAATATATAGCGATAGAAAGCACGGCTATTACACAAGTATACTAAATACCATGGTTGACTCCAACAGACAACTCAACAAATCTTCTCTAAGTGTGGATAGGGAAAATAATAAGCGGATAAGTCAAATCGTCACTCTACGATCTACTACAACTGACAGCGGAATAAAGTGATGGTAAGGATTCGCAGTGCCGAACATATTTTGGTCAACAAACAGTGCGTTCTCTCATTGACACACTGAATTATACTCAATAAATATAAATACACAATATAACCTAGATTATCTGTACCCCTATTAACCGTCTTTATCGATGAAACGCCACTACTCGTGCAGAAAGAATAAAATATATAACAGCCAAAAAAAACGCGTGGTATTATTATTATTATTATTATTATTGCATAAGACGTAATTTCGGCTAATAGCATATAAGTATATAAATAGGTAACTAAATGTAAAAATATATGGAATAAATGAAATAGATTAACAACACAATAACATAGGTAAAATTTTGTAAAATTAGGTAAAAATAGAAATGAATGAGTTATTGCACAAGTTTAGAAAATTAATAAATACAAGATGAGACAATGAACAAGGTGGTCGGACTACGATTACTGGATGTGACAGTGATGAGTTCAGTACATCTTGATCTAAAGGCGCAATTTTAAGTTTTTCATCCAGGTAATCGCTTCTGGTTCTGCCCTGTGGAGTTTTTCGATGCTTAACCTCGCGTGGTATGATTAAACCAAAAAAAATTACCAGACTTTAATCTTATAATTGTAAATATATATAATAAATAATTGTTAAATACACGGATATATGCGTATTAAATCAATGTATAATAAATTAAAAAAAAAATAACCAATAATGTCATAATTATTGAAAAATAATAAATAATATGTATGTATAAAAAGTTCATTTCTCGTTTAACCATATTTTGATTATCCAACAAGGCTCTAGTTCCGAGACTGACAGATAATCTAGGTTCTATTGTATATGTATGTGGTATGTGTATGTTTTTAAGCTAACTATATGTACCTATATAAATGCGTTGGCTTTGATATTGTGACAATATCTGCTTGCAAAATACCTCGAATAATATTTGACAAGTCTCTAAGGTTAAATACATAATGTGGCTTTTCTGGCGTTGGTAATAGATCTTCTGAAATATGTGAATAAATTGCAATGCTTGCCTTTACTATATTTTTACTTAAATTAGCTATAGTTGATGGAAATTCTGCAAAAAATCCATCCAAAATTGATGTAAATATAGCACGCATGGCATTCTCTGTCGTAGTAGGAATAAATACTATAGAAAAGTGTCTAGTGAATCTTGAAGTCAATACGTTTCTACCTCCTCTGGGAGGTGTACATACTGTACATAGAATTACATTATTTACGTATTTCCAAAAGAATTGTTTACGATCGTATAAGCCACCAGTATCTAAAAACTGTCTTAGCAGTTCAATAGGAGGTTGAGCTCCATATTCTTCAGGTTTAGGCATGTTAACGTCATCAATAAAAATTGCTAATTGTTTATTTCCTGGTGCACCAAAACTATTTCGCTTTTTCTTTTCCAATGTCGTTTCCAATATTTCTTGGATTCTATTACTACTGGTTCGTGCGGAAAAAATTATCATCTTAGTGATCCAATCATTTGTTATCGTCAGATTTTGCATTACAAAATTAGCCACCGATGTTTTACCTACCCCTAAAATAATTATTATCTTTCCATTTAAACACTATATATATATATAATTTAAAAACAGTTATTCATAACTTACCCGATACGCCTGCTAACATTACTGGTTGGTTCATTTTAATTAATTTTTGTATTATATAGGTGTATCGTATGCTATTTACTGTAGGTACTAATAACTTAAAATAAGACGTCTCTGTTTTATATTCGAAATCGGGAACAATGGAATTCCAATTTTCAAATGTTTTATTGACTGTATTAAGATATACGTCAAATAATTTTATTTCTGGTAATATTTTAGCTTCAGAATTGACTTTAAATTGATTAAAAACAAACTCCTCGAATTTAGTTTGAGAAGATTCGATTAAATTCGAACCCAAAGCCCATAGATATGAAAATATAAAGGACCGGCAAATGTATTTTTTAATTTCTGTATATTCTGTTTCTGCATCAAAACTATTAGAATCACATAAAAGAGATTTAAAGATGGCACACATCATAGTTGCTTTACTAATTTTAGTCTAAAAGATAATATTTTAAATGTTAAAATAAATACACATGTTGTAGATTAGTATATTTTACGTAATTATACCTGTTTAATAGACTCTATACAATGTCTGGCAATAAATGAAAAACCTTCGTCAACATAAGTCTCGAATAATTTCAATAAATAGTTTTCCAGTTCAATACTATTTCTAATTACTTCATTTTTAAATTTATTTACCCACGATTGTACGTATGGTAACCACCTTAATTCATCAGCATCAATATATACCATTCCACATCTACTAACAGTAGCAGGCGAAGCATATGATAAGTCATCAACTTCAAAAATCAGTCTAACCTAAAAATTATGGAATAAATTTAATTTTTGGCTTAATATAAACTGTGTTATACATTCATTTATTTAAATATATATTCAAAATGTTTACCCATGAACTTAATTTGATGCGCTCTGAATTTGCTAGACACAACATCTTGTTATCGTCAAGCACAGTATTAAGATTTTCTATCCATATTGCATCTACAGGGCCATCAAACACCACCCATTGAAACTCTTCTTTTGTTGTTCTACCGGTTTCTCTAATACATTTTCCAAGTAACCCATCCCTCCATTCCATTGTGAGGGGGTTTACTTCACCGTAAAGTTCACTCATTGAAACAGCTTTTGGATTTATCTGATATATTTTTACTGGTCTATAGTATTGTCCTTCTATTTTATTGTTGTAAAGCTCTTTTAATGTTTTGCTAAGTATTTTTAAAACGGTAGTTTTCCCGCCACCTGTTTGACCAACAGTCATTACACCATGCCTAACAATTATTGTCTTAAATAACTGCAAAACTTTAATATAAATACACTCTTCGATCGTATATCCTTCATTTGTCATTACATTTTTAGCAGTCGAAAGAAATATTCCATAATCTTGATCAGGTGAGACAACACCAGGAAAAAGATCATTTAATATGCCCTATAAATTTAAATTATTTAATTATATTTTATAGATTTTATAATATTATAATTTGCATATAATACCTGAAATAATAGAACATCATCATTTAATAATTTAGGCAAATTACAATCATTTAATGCTTTAATTAAAACGATATTTTCATTTAAGAAAGGATTTTCACGTTTTAAAGAAATTGCCGTTGCCAAAACACTTTTAAGGGCTCTACAATTAAAATAATTGATTGATTATGTTTTATATTCAAAAATATATTAATTATACCTCATCTTAAAATCGTAGTGATACTGAATAGAAAATTGATCGCTACACAATTTATACATTTTTACCAACTTATGAGCCAATATTTTTGATGATTCAAACCCTTCGGAATACAATACGATTTCAGCAATTAATCTATAGTCAGGTACTATTAATGCCATGGGTCTAAACAGTGCTTGTAAATTATCTGGTAATTCACTCTTTCCTGCATTGCCTGGATTCATTGTTATAAATACTGTACATGTCTTAATAAGTCTTATCTCTCGACCTTCAAGTATGAATTTGTTAGCATTATTCATCTTTGCGTTCATAATAGTAATTAACTGTTGTGCAATGACCGACAATACTTCGATCTCTATGTGGTTGAATTCGTCAAAACAACACCATGCTCCAGACTGAGCCATACCGGAAAATAATTTACCCATCGTCTACAAAAATAATTAATAATTACTTATAATTTTTTCACAAATCAAAGCAGGTAGCATAAACCTTGCAATCTAAATCTTTAGAACAGTTAAATACAACGCATTGTGTCGCTAATGCTTTTGCAAAGTCCTTAATTGTTTCGGTTTTACCAATACTAGTTGGCCCAACCAGTGCACCACCTAGATTCAGTCGAAGTGCACCTAGTAAGCACAAGTAACATTTGTCAGTTAATGGTGTGATTACTAGTCGAGGAGAAGACCCGAGGTATTCAAATGCATATAACCAGCGAAAATTTGTCATGTATGCAATGCAACTGTCCATTGAAGTATTCCAATAATAGCGCAACTGTTTTAGCCATTCGAAATTTGTATCGCTATTGACTTGACGTTCAACCATTACAGATATTATGTCTCTAGCGTGAACATCGACTGTAATCAATGCACATATTGCCGAACGTTGAAGTTTAGTTAACTCTCCTCGGACCATAACCACTAAATCATTCAAATCCTACAATAAAAAAAAAAAAAGTTAGACTATAGTTAAGTTAGATAATTATTCTATATAATTTAATTTAGTTTTGTTGACAAAGATACTTAATTTAAAACATTTTTGTTCAAATTCCACTAAAGCTTTTTGTACGTTAGTATCAAGTTTAATAATACGGTGTACATCACGACACCACATTAACTGGGAAACTGTGAGTACTAACTATAAACAAAACCTTAATTAGGCACATTTTTTTATTAAATATATATTTGAATATTGTAACCTGAGCAGCATGTAATAACACCCATTTTTTTCTTAGAATTTTTTCATAATCTTCAATAGCTATAATCATAAGTGATTTTAGTGTATTCATCATTTCATTTTCTACTTTAGATAGCCAAAATTCAACATTTCCTTGAGCTTTAACAGGTGACAATAATTTAACGATTTCTCTTTCGTGAGATATCATAGCAATGATGTTTTTAGGTGAACTATCTTCTTCATTTTCTGACTGTAATGGATTTCCTTCATCGTCATCTTTTTCAAATTGTATTCTCCAAATAGCATCAAAAATTTTACTTATATATGGTTGTACAGTTCTAACATACTTAGCTTGAGTAATTATCTTAATAAGCTCATCATTAGACAAGAAATAAAACCGCGGAAAAACAACTCGTTTGGATTCTAAATATGCTTCTAAATATAATAAGATCTGTTCTATTTCTTGATTATTTTTTATAAGAACTTTTAGTAAATCAGGTTCAGTACATGTGCTTATAGCTAAAGGATATTTTTTGACATTTTGCATTATGTTTTTCCAAGAGCTATTTACTTGATTAAACAATTTAGCTTCACTTGGTAATTGCCTTTGAATGTCTGAAGCTGCGAATATTGACTCTAAATATATCCAATTATTCTGACACAATATCCACTCTGTCTAAACAAATATATGTATTTAAAAATTACATGTATTTTCATAAAAAAAAAAAAAACTCTTATTTTTATAATTCATACATTAGTAAAATAAAAAGCATTTACATCTGATATGATAACTTACAAGGATATCATTCATAATATTCATTGAATTTATCCAATCTTCAACTCTTGTTTTGATCGTTACTACAAATTTTGATGCAATTAAAGTATTTAAATTTATATTTGCTTCTTCTAATGTTAATTGTACTTCTTCCAATGAACCAAGAATATAAACATCATCAGAATTTTTGTAAGGAAGTACAATTAAATTAATTTTTTTCCACGAATCTTCAACTTTGTTCAACATCTTCAATAATGTTGCTTCGGAACTTGCATGTTCAGAAATTTCCATCAATTCGAGACCATGATTAAACGCACCTAATTCTTCGAGCATAATTAAAGTAAGAGACTTATTAGTTGGAAATTTTATCCCAAGCTTTTGTTCTATTTTAATCCAGTGATAAGATTTAAGATCCGGATTCCTTAGTATTGTAATTATTGACATTTTTTTTTTAAATGATTCTACTTTGTTATTTATAAAACTAATGTGCTCACAATCTGGGAGGCTTTTTTTAAACTCCATTACATATCTTAAATTAAGTGTTAGAAATGTATTCATTTGTTCCACATCCAAATTATGAAAATTATCTTCTTCCCAAACAGACATTTTCTTTTCCCATTCATCTAAGCAATCCCAAAGTAATATTCTAAGTCGAACCGATTCACTCGCATTTTTCAACACATCAAATTTTGCTACCTCTACGCCAAAAAAATTTTGGTAAGATGTATATAAATTTGCTTCTTCCTGGTGTTCCATTAATCGGTTATTAAGCTTAAATAAGAACAATTTTACTTCTTCTTTATTTGAATTAATATCAGTTAACCATGAATCCTATACAAAATTAATAATACTTTACAATTAAAATTGTTATGTATTCTATTTAATAATATAATAATATATAGTATACTATAATACTATAGTTATAATAAAAATGTAATAATTTTAAAATATTATTTTAACTCTAAAAAGTATTTTTATACATATGTTGAGCATTATCAATACATTATTCAATAGTGATTATAATAAATAAATAAATGAACAAGTAACATATTTATTATTTTACACATTGTCAAAACTAGATAATAGTATTATGTAAATAGACGATTGAGTTTCAGTTAATAACAAATATTCATTCTTTAGATCATCGTACTCTCCGTCATATTTTTCTGCATAAACAATTAGTAATAATGACTGAAATTTCTGATAAAATGAATCTCAATAAAAGATTTAGATTCGACACACGGTCCAAAGGAAATAGTCATACTAAAAAGTATTTTCAAAAAATACAGCACTTATCCTAAAAATATTTTTCAGTGTATCTCTAAATGTTACTTGCTTTTAGATTGTAAAATAATTTTAAAATACTACTTCTTCATTTAATAAAGCTTTTAACTAAAAGATAGACTATTACTGCTACTATATTGTATATTTTGTATACATATTATAAATAAATATAGCCGAACACAGGTATAAAAATAATAAAAAAAAATTGTTTTTGAATGATCAAAAATCTAAAACAAACGTTAACTATTACATTTGCTTCAATATTTATCTGATTAACATCTCGAAGTATGTCTGTTATATGAATATCAATTTTTTTCACAAATTCGCTAATTAGTTTATCTTGTTCATTGTTAATTTCATCAAATGTTGTATGTAAATTAGTCAACACAATCGAACATTTCTAAAATTAAATATAATTTAAATTATCAATTATCAATTATTTAGTAATTATAATATTTACATTATAATTTTCAATATCATCTTCAGAAACGTGTACTTCAAATTCATCAGCCAGATCATAAAGGTCTCTAATGTAATTCAAAATATTATCTATTTCTTCTAGCTAAAATATTGAAACAATATTTATTAAAATTAGATTTTTCATTTTTACAAAATGTATTATTTTAATACAAACCCTTTCAGAACATTTTTCTAGAAACTTTTTATAGGCAACACATTGTGCGGCAGTTGATGGGGAATTGTAAAGATATTTAAGAGAGTTGTTTATTTCATTTAACAGCTCATTAACCAAATTTTTCCCAACTCTAAAAATGTATCTCCGATGAAATAATTAATATCATCAATATATTTACAGTGCTGAAGGAATAAACATACTTAACCATTGTTTTTTCTACCAATTCCAATAATTTTTCACATGTCGATTTAGCAACACTTTTAAATGAATGTAGTTTTAAATAGAATATAGCTATCATTTGAGCAGGTGTAATTTTATCCACATCATTTCTTTGACATCTATATTTTTCCAACATTTTTCGGAAATTAATTATATCTAAAAAAAAAATTAAATATATGTTAAAATGTAATAATATTTTTCATTTCTACGATTAATATAATTTGTAAATGTAAATAAATGTATCGAATAGTTACTTGTTTCTTTCTCAATGGTTCCTGGGTTCAAGTGTTCGTTTTCTCTGTACATAATGTGGACATATTCTAGACGTTTTAAATATTTATAAATCGCATCATAGTTCGCATTAAAGTAGTTTAATATTTTCTCGGTAGAACTCTGATATATATCGTCAATATCAAACATGAACTGTAATAATGTACCGTTGCCGCATATACGATTTTTTTGTTTACCACAAATTGTTGGTCTAAATTATTATCATTTATCAAAAATAATAAAGCATGTTTACTTATTTATATCACTAAAAGTTAAACTTACTGAGTAAAACTTTTAAACTCGTCGTCGCTCAAAAGTGGAGGAAAGTGTGTAACCATATTCCATTTCCAACTTTCCAATAAAAACGATATGTAAGTGTTAAAATCATGTTGTGTACTACTGAACTCAATACCAGTTTTTGTTAATGAAACCTCTAGTATAAATAATGGTAACTTATTGGAGTAAAAATAAAAATAAATTATTTTACATTAAATAAAAAACATTTAATGGTAATATATAAATACCCTAGGATCTTCCGAAAATCTCTCGTTTTCTAGTATGGTTTTCACGTTAGTATCGTTTAGTAAATCGTTGCTAGGAATATACTTGAAATGATTCCGAACGTCGGTCTCAAAACGTGTAATCTGATTTCGTAGGATCTTATGTAAATTAGATTGTAAAATTAAGTCAATTGACATGATAAACCGACAGATTCTTTGGCAACATTTGAGTTTGGCCCTTTGTTTTGCAAACGGCATTGCATACATAGTATCCCTATAACGTTCTATTTTCGCTTCCTCAGTCATTTTAGAAATATACAAATTGGAGTCGTCTACAGTAAAGCCAGACTCTTTGAGTGCTTTCAAACATGCATTTAATACTAGACCTTTTATTGTTTGCCTCAAGTCTTTTAACTTTTGAATAGCTAGTTCAGTGCTCTTTTCCTAAAAGTTTCGTGTTTAATAATAAAAATAATTCATATTAGATGATATAGTTCAAATTCATCAAATTTTAAAAATGATAAATCGTTATCTGTTAACTTTATAATATAGTTTATTGTTTATAAGCTATATTATATATATATTTTACCGAAATTGTATTTATATCTCTATAAATAAACGATAAGATATGTAAACATCTTAAATAATATAAATACAAAAATATAAAAATATACAATACAAATTTAGAAAATATATGTGTTTTCATAGAAATGTGTTATTATACAGATCATTCGTGATATTTTAATAGTTATATACTAAGGATAGAACAGAAATAATTTTGTACTGACATTTTAAATTTTAAATAACAAAAATATTACATTCATTTGTATATTTATAAGAGAATAAAATGTAATCATGGCTAACCTGTTGTTCTTTAAAACTTTGCAGAGTGTTTTCTTCAGTAATCGAACCATCATATATTATAATAATTTCTGTAGTTTCGAGTATGACATTATAAATATCTACTGTAGCATGATGCATACAATCATAATCTATTAGTAGTTCTTCTCGAGCCCAATAAAACTTGTTCCTTGAAATGTGCTTGTACCAAAAGTAAAAGCATTTCCAAAGTAAATAATTTTTAAATAGACGCAACTGTAAATAATAAATTCAATCATATTGGAAATTCCTATTTCATTAAATATTCGTTATATCATAATAAATTATATTTTATTGGTTTTAATCAAGTTTTAAAACTATAGTACCTAAGCTTAATGTAAAGACTTCATAGTATCATATTTTGTCAAATATTATTATATTATATGATACTTATTACAAAAATGTTAGCCAACTAATTATTTAGTTTATAATTATTTCATGGAATAAGCAGATCACGAGTGAAGAAAACCTGAAGCCATGATAAAGAAGGTTCTACAAGAGAATCCAAAAGGAAAAAGACCTTTGAGAAAACCTCGATTGCGAGGGGAGAATTGTATCAAGAAGGATATAGCAGAATTCTACCGGTATGATGATTGGCGTATGTTAGTGAAAAATCGTAATTGGTGGAGACAGTTAAGTTTGAATGTGTAGTCCGAAAGACCATAAAACAAGAAAAAAAAATTATTATTTTATGTTCATATTGACTTACTTTTACAAGTTTTTGATAGTTACTGTAATCTTCTTCGAATTTTTCCAAAGGTGTGAATGTTACTTCATTTTGAATATTTGACATCATACCTTTGTTACTTAAAGTAAAAAAACAATTTTTATCGATATTCTTGAAATTCACAGTTTTGAAGCTATATGGTGAAAAATATTTAGATTCTTTGCTGACAGAGTAAACTAAATAAATAAATTTGTATTCTCTCGCTGTTTTAAAATATTTTAAAGCTGTCTCCAAGTTGAATATTTCGAGAGAGTCATCTTCACACATATCTTCTTTGTAGATGGTATTTTCTTGGTCTGATTTATAACCCGTTTTAGATTTGGAATTTATAATGCTCGATTCAATTACTAAACATATCACCCAACATAATTAAATTATTATTTTACAATTATAACTGTATTTTATATATCTAATAAAGATTCTTGTGTATTATTTTATCCCTATACCCTACACATGTTATCAGCTTATTACCTTGTGAGTCAATGTTACAATTTTATAAAACATAATTTACAACCATACTAAAGATATTTTGTATTATAACACTAAATACCTATAAAAATTAGATATTATTTATAAAATGAAAAATTAGTAATAAAAACATAAACAAATATATTATTAAAATATGATATGTTCATACAGATATCTAAAAAATAAAGAAAATTTCAATAAAATATAATTAATAATAAATATAAATAATATAATATCAAATATAAATAAATACAATGCATAATATAAATAATAAATATAATTTGAATGTGAATAACCAGACAATTAATTAATTTAAACTACCTAAGTGATATTTTTATGTTACACCAAAATGTTTTTGTTTCAATAAAATAAAATGAATAATTATGCTGTAACAACTCAATATTAACTAAATTATATATTAAATATGATTTAAGTATAAATCATTAGTCATTACTAATGACTCATTAGCATACTTGAACTTAGACATACAATAAGTATTGAACTATCGTTACAATTAGTCATATTTATATGTTTCGATTTTGTATACTTTCTCTAATATAAGATATTTGATTGTAAATATTTTTAAAAAATAACAATTTAATTCATATTTTATAATTTTAAGCTTCCCAAATATAAAATTTTAGATTTCTCTAAACGTCTTTTAAATTATTAATGTTCAACAAAATTGAAAATGAAATACATACAATCGTCATTATTCGAAATCACTTCTTCCATTTTCACATATTGTAAATAGCCAGTCTGTAAACAATGTTTTCAAAATTTAAAGATTCAATTTAAATTTATTAAGTTTTTTATTATAAAATAATTATAAGTATTAATAATAATTTTAATTAAATTAAAACTCATACCAATAGTATAGATTGCTGTTGTTTAAACAAATTTGATTTTATATATTTAATATAAAGATTTTACGTGTTAATATTTTTTAAATCACTAGAAAATATTCATAAAATATTTATACTTATTACATTTATTAACGTTCATTATCATATAAAAAGCGTTGCACTTTTAAAAAATCTCAAAAGGTTTTTGTTTGTGGATAATTTTTAGAAAACACATTTTTAGAGTTATTGTAGATCGCTTTCTACTACTATGATTTACTAATAAGTTTCAAGTTTTTATAAAATAGGCTTTCTAATCTTTCTTTATTTAGGTAATAATATATTATTGATTCAATGGTTATGGGGTCGTTACTAAGGATACGCATCTGTACGCATTCCGTAACTTGTACAACTATTATGTTATTATTAGGGAATCATAAAGGGTTGTACTTTCCGGTGATACCCGATTGTGCACGGTCGTTATCAGCCGACCTTTTTGACGACGAGATTGAGCAAGGTAAAAAAAAAAAGATAGTGTACAACGTTATCAGATTGAAAACTATTACGCTAGCAACACACTGGCGTTATTTTACCGCGCAACATTTTTACCGCGCCGTAATTTTACTGCGCGTTTTGTTAAAGTACATTAAAATGAATAGAGCACAACGCCACACGAGAGTCGCACAGTAAAATTATGGCGCGATATTTCGAAAACTGTCGCGTGCACCTTGACTTAACCGTGCGTTAAAAATACCGCCATAAGGGCTTATCGTGAGTACTCTGAATTTAAAAATTCTGACAACCTACTTAAATACTTATTAAAAGTTGGAAATAAGTATTTGGGGAAAAAAATTTAAATTTTTACCTCTTTCATGATAATTGTACGAATGCTATTTTTTAGCAAAAAAAAAATATGTAACTATAACATGTGATTAAAATCCAATAAAAGATTTTTAATTATAAATAATTATATTCAAATTTACTTTATTTTGTAATAATAATATGGACGCACCGAGCTCTATACACCAACAATATAAAAAATGCAAAAAAAAAAGGTGTCTTGTCGTTTTTCTATTGAAGAGTTATTTATTTTGGGAAACCTGAGCCGTAAAAATTTTAAATTATGAAATTATCATTAAGAATCTAAAATTGAATTACATAATAAGTATAAAAAAAATCTTACACGCACAGTAATACGGTGCACCGAATAATATTCTACGGAACAAAGCGGCAACGTCGCACCCATTTTCGGGCTCAATCGTGTGATTTTTGGGTTCTTTTTTGGTTCCTATTGTTTAATTGCAACCGTGCTCAATCAGGTTCTAGCCGTACTTTCGAACTTGGAAATATTCATATTTTTGTACTTTCTTTTAACTTTAAATTTAAATTTTATATACAAATTAGAAACATTAATTAGGTAGAATGAACATTAAACATTTGTACTGAGCCGTCAAATCCCTTCTACATAATCGCCGACGACATTCAACAATAACGTTTACCAGTTACACATCGTGCTCAAGTGATTAACTTTCAAAACCACATATACCTTTCCTTTTTGGTTTTTTTTTTTAATCGGCGATACACCTGCAATAGCTCCTGAACCACAATTTTGGCCATCCATACTCAAAACATTTTAAAACAATTTAATATAAAATAATAGCATTATTAATTACAATATGATTATATAAGTTTTAACAACAATAAAAGTTTTAAGCATGAAAAAAATAATTTACACTGTAAATACGTCTAAATTAAAAGTTAATATTACGACTCTGTATGTCACGTGTAAATAAACGACATCGGTCGACGCGTTGCGACGGTTCGTATCAGCGGCTCAACTCATACGGTAAAAATTGTGGAGGAGCAACTGCCAATTTCGGTCGGCGGCTGGTACCTTTCTCTCGTGGAAACGAGTATACCTATTACATACCTTGTTATCATCACATCTATTTAGTGTTATCAGTTTATCACGTACCAATATTATCACTAATAATAAATAAGATTTAAAATTAATACTTTTTATGGTTTTTCATATTAATGTAATATTTTTGTTTAAAATATCTACTATGACTTCTTCAGGCTTCAGTGGTGCTTTAAAATTAACAGATTTAGACGATTTTATTACACCATCTCAGGTAACTTTATGCTAAATTTTTGTAATTTAAATCATTAAAAAATTTTTATTTTATAGGAGTGTATTAAACCTGTTCAATTCGAAAAGTCTACCCTCGGAACAGGAGCCAAGATAAAAATTGGAGATGATGGTTCTTATTTTCAAGAATCTAAAGTAATTGTATAAGTTAAATAATAATAATAAAGAACCAATTTGTTTACACATTTTTTAAAGCCACTTAAAATTCAATTATTTTTGATGAGTTAAATGATTTCATTGCTTTGTATTTAGAACTAAAATTATTATATTTGTTTCATGAATGCATGACACCAAAACTTAAATCAGAATTGTGTAGAATCATTAATTATATATTTAATGGTAATTTGTAACTATAATCAATGTTTATATCAAAAACCTTTTGGCAAATTTTACTGACAGTTTTAGTTAATATAAAAAAGATCATACAACATGGAACTGAATTTAATTGCAAATAATTGTAAATTTATATTTTAATATTGTATTAACAGAATGGCAAAAGTGAAAAATTGAAACAGGTGGAAATTTCTTTGACTGATTGTTTAGCATGCAGTGGATGCATAACTTCAGCTGAAACTGTTCTTGTTCAACAACAAAGTACTGATGAAATGATGCGAGTTTTTGATGCTCAGAAAGTAAATGCTTTAATTCTTTTACATATACATAATATGTAGTTTTTCTTTCAATTTGTTTACTAATTCCTCTACAATTTTAGGATCTTGATAACAAAAAATTTATAGTTGTTTCTATTTCTATTCAATCTTGTATATCAATTGCAATTAGCAATAATATCACTGTTGAATGTGCTGCTTTAAAATTATGTGGTAAGTTCAAGCTTTTTTTCATATATATATTGCTAATCAATAAAAGTTTCTTTTAGTAATATAAGTTGAATTTAACGAATTACTTTACTTTGAATAGGCTAAGATTTAGACTTAAACAAGAAACATTTTATAATTTTATTTATTGTGAATATAATAACCTAACATATTTATTCTGTAATTTTTACACTAATATCTTATTATTCTACTATACTAATTTAAGAATTATATTAAATATTTACCAGGATATTTCAAGAAATTGGGTGCAGATATGGTATTAGACTTAAAATTTGCAGAAGATTTAGCATTATTAGAATCTCAAAATGAGTTTATTGAAAGATATAAATCAGCTAAGGCTTCAAAATTACAAAAAATATTACCTATGTTAGCATCTTCATGTCCAGGTAAAGTAATTAATCTTTGAATGTTGACAGACAAATATTGTTTCAAAATTAACTTACTTAATTTATAGGTTGGGTATGTTATGCAGAAAAAACTCATGGAAATTTTATATTACCATATATTAGTTGTGTTAAATCTCCTCAGCAAATAATGGGTTCATTTATCAAAGATTATGTTTCAAAAATCAAGAATAAACCTAGAACAGATATATATCATTTAACTGTTATGCCTTGTTTTGACAAAAAGTTAGAAGCCTCCAGAGAACAATTTTTTGATGTAGACACTCAAACTAAAGATGTTGATTGTGTAATTACATCTAGTATGTATGAATTCAAAAGATTATTGCTGATATTAAATTATTATTATTTATTTCATTTTAAATTTTAGTTGAAGTGGATGCATTATTAGTAAAACAAAACATTGTTTTCAATAATATAGTTCCTGAAAATTTTGATAGTGGGCTAAATAATATTCCAGAAGATGGTTTTAAGTTACTTACAAATAATGGTTCTGGATCTGGAGGATACGCACATCATATATTTTGCTATGCAGCTCAAGAATTATTTAATATAAATATTGATAAAGTTGAATTTAAACCTCTCAGGTTTGTATTTAATACTATAATTGTATACTCTTTATTATTATTTTATCAATTTCTTTAATTATTTGTAATAGGAATGTTGATATGAAAGAAGCTACTTTAGAAGTAGATGGAATTGTTGTACTACGTTTTGCCATAGCTAATGGATTTAGAAACATACAAAACCTAGTACAAAAATTAAAAAATAAAAGATGCCCATATGATTATGTTGAAGTAATGGCATGCCCTTCAGGTAAGTTGTTTTTGTTTTTATAGTCTATCCTTATTTCAATCTATTAGTAATATACTAATAATTAATATATATATATATAAATTTATGGATGTATTATCATAGACGTGCGCAGACTTTATTCTCAGGTTAAGCAATAAGAAATATAGAGCCCCTCACAAATAAATTTTCTAATCTTCCCTTAATTTATTTGTATTTTCTTTTAACGCATATAAGATTTACAATCTAAGTTTTTGCATATATACTACTTAGCTTCTTTGCTTGCCTCAGAATCTAAAATCACACATAGTTTTACAGTAGAATATTAAACAATGCACTATAGAAATAAGTTGTTTGAAATTTGATTTATATTTATTAAAAAAAAATTTATTATTTATTTAAGATCAAGTATGTACTATATTGAATGCTTTTGAATAATTTTAACATATTTATAATGTTGTTATTTTATGAAGAGTACTTAAAATCTAAAGTTCAAGTCTTCTTTTTATCGGCACACATGCTTTGAATTCATCTATTACATCTTCAATATTGATTTCTGATGCCATCTTTTGCTCGATAAATATTAACATCATTGAATCAAGACGTTCTTGTAACATAGTGTTTCTAAGTTTAGACTTCACAATAGACAATTTGGAAAAGGCCCTTTCACACGAGCAGCTTGTCATAGGTATTGTTGCAAATTGTGTTAAAGCTTTATTGAAGTTTGAAAATATTGTTTTCCGGTCGTTTTTTGATAATCAATTCAGCCCTACTACAATTGTTTTAGTTGATGACCCTCTAATAGAAGTTCTATCAGACATATTTGTAATGAGCTTAATTTCAGACTCAAATGTAGTATTCAAATTAAATTTTTCCTTCAACATTGAAATATCATTACTATCAAGCTTTAATTGAATTAAATTTCCTGTGGCGGTAATTAAATTTAAAGTTTCTTAACTTAATAATAAATATGGGCCCCTCACATGAAGCCGCAAACTATGCAGCGGCATACCCTGCATACCCCGTGCGCACGCCTATGTGTATTATACTTTACTTTGAATTATATGTCTTAAAAAATTAAAATACTTATTAAAATGTTTATATTTATAATAATTTACTGTTAAATTGGTTTTAATAGGTTGTCTAAATGGTGGTGCTCAAATGAAACCAGTGGAATATAAGCCAAATAGAGAATTTATTAATATTTTAGAAAATACTTATGATAAATTACCTAAAGGTAGTCCATCAAATAATAACAGTGTTAAATATTTATATTCCAACTGGTTAGATGAAAACCATAAAAATGACTATTTATATACAACATATCGAGAAATTAAAAAGAATGATCAGCCATTGAGTATCAAATGGTAGATAAATATCTACAATAGTTTTAAAGCAGTATATGAATACATTTATATTTTATTTGTTTATCAATATTTATACCAAATATTTTATTATTTATGTACAGTTTATTATAATATTGATAATAAAATATCAGTTAATAATTGTTTAAAATAAAGCATTTCCTTTTTTTTTTTTTTTAAATTATCATTTGTATTATTCATAAAGTAATAATTACTTGATAAATCAATCAAATTACATAATACAGTTAATTTTTTTATAACAAAAAAAAATTTAATTTTTCTAAAATGTTAACACTTTGATAAAATATTAAGAAAAATTGGTACTTTTCGTCTGGTATATGAATAAACTATTATTAAACTTTTGAATTTTACGTTGGATGAATGAAGGTTAGTTCTTGAAGAAAAGGGATTGAGAATTAGTAGAAACAAAACAGAGTATATAGAGTATGACTTTAGAAGAAGATACCAAGAAGTTGAGGGTATGAGAAGACCAATGACAATAAGTGGTGATGTGATAGGTGAAGTCAAGAACTTTAAATATTTAGTATAATTTGTACAAAAGAACGGAGGGGGAAGTTGGTATGGATGTATAACATAGGATTAAGTACGGTTGGATGAAATGGAAGGAAGTGCCTGTGTTTTGTATGATAAGAGAATTCCAATGAGGCTGAAAGGTAAATTTTACAGGAGTTTAGTGAAACCGACTATGCTATATGGTTCAGAGTGTTGAGCAGTTGACAGGAGAGTATAACTGAGTTTGGTGAGGCGGAAACAAGAATGTTTAGATGGATGAGTGGAGTAACAAGAGAAAATAGAATAAGGAACGAATGTGTGAGAAACAGTACTCGTGTTGTTGTAGCGTCTATAGTGGGCAAGATGAGAGAAAATAGACGAAATGGTTTGGGCATGTGATGAGACGAGAGGAAACAAACGCAGTAGATAAGAGTTTTTATGAAAATGAACGTTGAAGGGAAAAGACCAAAAAAGATATGGTTGGATTCAATCGAGAATGATATGAGTTGGTGTGTGCTTAGGTTAAATTAGAGAATGTAGAAAATCGAGATGAATGGAGGTTTAGGACAAGGATGGTAGACCCAAAATAGTTGGAAGAAAGTCAAAGGAGAAGAAGACACTTTTGAAGTATAGAAATAAAAATTATTAACTTTAAAATAAATAGAAAGACTTAAATTTTCAAAATAAATATGATATAATTTTATTGAAAATTACGTCATGATTATATTGTTTGTGTACAACTTAAAAACTTAATCTAACTTCAAGATCGATAATTATTTAAACAAAACTACAAGTTTTATTTTGTTAAAACTCGATTACCATAAATTTAAAATTCTTATTATTATTTTCGTTTTATAATTTTTAAAATGTAGAAAAACCAGAAATAAAAAGAAATGACCTGTTTAAAGTTCATATTGTAAAATAATAACATTTTAAAATCTCTACATCGAGAAAAGTGTAATAACTAAAATAAAAACACTCATCATCATATAAAGTTACCATTTAGCAGGTTTTTCACCCTTTCATTGCAATACAATTATCAGCTATGATATTATGTCATTATTCTTTGTAATTATACATTACATCCCGGGAGTACCTTAATAGGTATACATATATTTTTATAGTATTACTGCTTACTATTGTTAAGCAATTGTTACATACGTGTTATGAGATATGATTAAACTGTTTATATTCCCACCGTAATTAAAAAAACTCTTACTAATAATACTTCGATAGTGTGTGTGTGTGTATGTGTATCAGTTCTCACCAAAAACCACTGCTGTCGAGTAAGGCGAAAAGAACCATAATAATAATATCTGAGATATCTGGCGAAAGTGTTATAAAGTTTTTTTTTTTTTTTGGTTGATGACCAGCTGATGTATAATATAATAATTTAATGTTCGGGAGAACGTGTGTGGTAGGAGAAATGTGTGCCAGAAAAACAGAGAATGATTATATTATTGTATTGTTCGTAACGTTGGCTCTGAGAACCTGTTCGCTCAGCTACAGGTATACACCGTATGTACACCGTTTATAATTATTATATACATATACATATTATATGGTAACTATTACAGATGTAATACAGAAAATACGTGAACAGGTGTAGGCATTCCGAGCCCGCCGCGACACGGGTACATACGAGAAAACACCGTGACTAATTCCGTGCACACCGACCGACAGACACATGGACCGATGACCTTACCTACATGTTTCTTAACGAACGGTTAGTGTTGTCTTAACGCGCGCGCGAGCCGTGCGTACACCATTACACACCTTCCTATTCTGTACGCGTAATTGTCCAATGGATACATCGTTTCTACCCGGTACGGTTCGCGCGAACATGTGTCGAGTGTTGTTGATTTTTATTACGTTTACCGTGATGCACCGCGCAAACTGTCAGAGTTTAGGGAAGTGCCCGAAAAAAGAGACGATGAAGACGTTCGACCCGAAATTGGTAGGTTAAAATTGTTACCGATTCTACCCGCTGATTGACTATGATCAGAAATTTTTAGTGTATGGTAAATTTGTATATTTATATTAGTAACGGATACCCGGAACCGGATTAAATACATGTAGGTGCAAAATGAGCTTCTATTCCCATTAGCGGTACATTTTTGAGAGTCGTTTTCTTTGATTTGAAACACTTCTTCTTTTTCTTAGAAAATAAAAAATAACAACTCATACATTTCTTATGTATTTTACTGATATGTCTCATTCGTATGTATTCATTTTTAAAATATCTAAACTTTGATTTTGAAAAAAATGAATAGTTGTTTAAATTTACCATTGAATCGATATGAATTAAAATCTCAACTATAATAATATCGATTTTACTGTTTTTATTCCCATGGGATTGGAAAAATATATTGCTCTTGTAGAATGTCTTAATCCGGTTCTGTGTTTATATTACCAATATACATTGATTGTAATAATTGTTGTTATAACACGTGTTCAGTGGCGTAATTTCATTATTTTCTTTTGGGGAAGATTTTATTAAATAAGCGAAAGCGTCTGTATGTGTATGAGTATAATTGAATAATTTCAAATATTTCCGAAAATAATGTCAACTTTCGCTTATCAAGTGTGTATTTTTTTTTTATTATTAAATAATTAATAATTCATATTATAGTTTGAAAATTGAATACAAAAATCTAAATAACAATAAACTATTTTACCTATTGTTAAAAAATCGAGAAATTCGATTCAGTAGAAAACAATGTTTAGAAAAAACAACATGAAAATGAACGCACGTTCACGTGTTCATAATCATATTTTGTAAACGACACGTGTTATCACACATTTTTTTTCTAGTATAACTTGAACGCAAACGACATTTTTATTTTGAATTCGAATGATTTTTGAGGCCTTCAAATTTATTTACCATTTAAAAAATATACGTATTAATGATTATTGATTAAAGTACGTAAAGTAAAATATACCTAATACATTTTGTAAGCGTCCTATTTATGCATAATGCAGATAGGTAATTCATAAATATAAAATAAAAAAAATTAAATAAACGGCCAGATAAATGCGTTCATTTTTTCATACTATTTGAACGTGAACAAGTTTCTCTTTTACGCATTAAACGTAAACGTGAACAAGTTAAATTATTAAGTTAACGTTCTGAACACTGATAAAATGTCTATAAATAATGATGACATAATACTACAATTAATTTTTTTTTAAATAAAGACAAATTATTACTTTTTAATTTCAAAGTTATTTTTATTAATACTTTTTTTGTATACAATGTTTAAATAAATAATCGTATGTTCTTAGATTTTTAATATTAATACAAGCCCATAAAATTATTATATTACACGATATACTGATTAAATGGGTGAATGTGATACATTTGACTAATTTGATTCATAATAATTAAATATTACAATGAAAAAATGTAATATATTCATATGATAATTAGACCGACCTTCGTCCAGAACTATTTTTTTTAATACGACAGTTAATCATTCCTTTCGAATTTATCGATATAATATTAATAACAACGAAGGACGAACATTCGAACTACTATCTCGATATCAAACCGGCTTGTTAAAATCCTTGAAGATTTATCCAGAAACCCACCCTTATTTGTACGCCACTGTACATAGATAATTAGGTATTGTTTAAATAGTTAAATTTGATAACCCGAATGCTTATAATTTGTACAGTTCGAAGGCCAGTGGTACGAAGTGGAAAAAACATTTTACATGATGGAGATGACTGCTAGTTGTACTGCATTTAATTTCACTTTGAGTCCCGACGGAATGTCGTTCAAAGTTCAGATTGGAACGAAAAATAGGATGTAAGGATTTGTTATTCAAAACATCCGAAAATATTTAAACCTATTTGCATGCAATCAACGTTAAATTATAATAATAACGTAAATCATAATACAAAGTATATACTGTGGATTCCGCTTAATATCATATATAGGTTCCAAAACCAATGTATACTAACTAACAAGGTTAAAAAAAACCGCTTAATTTGGGCCCATGGTTCAGTTTATGTAGGCAATATTTCTTCATCATAGCATTAATACAATAAAGGGCGCCCATATGAGGGCAAGGGAGGGGCTTTTCACCCCCCTGGAAAATATCAAAAATCTTGGAAAATTGTTTACTATGATAAGAATATATTTATTTAAATAGAATTTAAAAATTTAATTTAGTATATGAAAATCTATAATTTGTTTATGAAAAATCTATTTAGTTTGGAAAATCAGATTATCAACTATAAATAACAATACGCTTTTTCGTTTCTATTCTATGGATAATTATCAATTCTTAAAATATTGTGTATTTTCAGAAATACGGTTTGTATATGTGTGTGTGTAATATTTATATAATGTTTGTAAATTAATATTTTAATAAATATAACTAATGTATTAAGTGTCCAATTTATATTATTAATTAAATAAAATGTTCAATAAATTAATTTTATGGTAAATTGATTAAATAATTATTATTTTATAGTCTTCTAGTTTGATATATATAATGTAATAGTATAATGTAAAATTGTAAGCCCCTTTCTATACCGTGGGCCATTTCTATTTAAGAATAGATTGATAAATTAAAATGTTGTCCCTCCCTTGAAATTTTCCTATGGGCACCCTTGAATACAATTGCATTTTATCGTATTTATGAGATTGTATTTATCAAAAGTAATAAAAATAATTTTATACCCTAATGGGATTTTGCTGTAAGTTAAATTAGATGTACAGGAGTGTTATCAAAATCTATATAAAAAAAAAAAGAATAAAAAGATAAACTTGCAGCTTTCTTCCTCTAACTCGACAACAATCATTTCAGATTTATCGTGAATTTCAACACGATCGTGAACGTTTTTAACGATGTCTCAAAAAGATTTTCCCCTCAAGGAAAAAAATCGCGATTTTAAATAAAATGAAGTCTCCAGGCACTTAACAACGTAAAATCGCTGAAAAATTACACGTCCAGAGATTATATTATTAATTATTATTTTGTATATTTATTTATCTATTAATTTAATTTAACATTTTTCCCCAATTTTATTCTTACATCTACAAAATAAAAACTTTTCGGTATTAATAACGTTGATGTTTTTAAACTAAAATCGGTTTATATGGACAAATGGTTTAGTCCCTACATGTTCACATTAAGCGGTATCCACTGTACACCTATAGTCATATATGTATAAATAACGTATCGAGCTCCCCGAAACCTTTAAATCAGGCCGTTTATATGTGAAATTTGCTGGTATCAAGCGTTATTATTATTGTAATTACTGATTTCTAATGTATATGTATATTTTCAACAGAACAGGAAATCCCAATATATTTTCTGGGGTAGCCACACTCGTGTCGAAAAATAAATCTGTGCTCAACTATCGAGCCGAAAGTCGACTGCCCGGTCTGTTTTCCCGTATGCTACCGACCACTGGTTTGTATCACATCATATATTCGGATTACAATAACTACACAATATTGTGGTCGTGCACGAGTTTTGGACTTTTCCATACAGGTAACGTATGAAATGCCGGTACATACATTGCAATAAAATTTTAGAAACATGCGCATATTAAGTTTTGTGTTTAGGGGTGCTAAAATAATATTATGTTACAAATATATGTATATATATTTTCAATGTAAATTACTCGGGGACTCTAATCTCTGATAGTGCTTGTTTAAAACTTAATGGTGCACCTCCAAACCCAACATGTGTACATCCCTCTATATGGGTAGAAACTTGACGTGTTTAATTATGTCAAATATAGTTGTAATAATATTGTTTGCAGATATTATTTGGGTTTTGGGAAGAGAGCGAGATCTCACGGCGACATCTCGTGCCGAGCTCTACGGTTTATTATACGAACTGAACATCAATCCCGATCGACTAATATTGACAAAACACGAAAAATGTGACGATTTTTTTTAATTTAAAATATTTTATTTAAAAAAAGTACATATATTTGACTTTTAATACATATTGAATATGCTAGTCAGTACAGTGAAAACTAAAGGATTCATGGCAGCCCTGCGTATATACTATTCTAAACTTATGCGTAGCGATTTCAATAGTTTAAAAACAACGTACGAAATGTTATTTTGTGTTCAAAAAATTCTCATAATAATACGAATTATTTGGTTTGCTAGTAATTGCAGTAAATTATATAATGCAATGTACCTAAATAAGAAATAAGAATACAATAGTTCATTCTAGTAATATTCATTTAACGAGCCGAAAACTTGGTCGTTTTTCATGTAAAGCTATAAAAGTACTAGAAATCCGTGTTACTTATATTTATTTTTATATTGTAACCTATGTACCTAATTTAAATTGTATATAGTGTATTGAGAAAGCGAAATTGAGATGGTTATAATCATGTAACTATATTTATGCTTAAAATATATGCTTTCCTTTCTACTGTACATTAAATTTTTTTTTTATTTCATAGATATTTGAATAAAGTATTTTTCAATATTTTTCAATTTGTTAATTTCTTTTGTATGCAAACATAGTAGCAGTGTGGAAGTAGCACATTAAAGCAAATTATGTCTATCGATTCGACATTTAATACCGTACATAATCACTCAGTCGACCCTAAATATAAAACATAAACAAAAAAAAAACAAGAGCATACGTATTTATTTAAAATACATCGGTTTTGTAGTATTATAAAAATTTATATCATTAAAAATCGTAATAAATAATATATTTGTTCACATATTTTATTTATTACACACAATTATATTTCTTCGTTACTACGATAAGGTACTTCTTCATATTTTTTTATATTTGGTATTCACTCGGTAAACACTACTATTTAATTATTTCCTCCTATAATTTTTCGTTTAGTCTAGTTGGACCAATGGATACGTCATTATATCGTACCGGTAACCTTTTCCGGTGCGAACTGTGTTAACGTGTCGAACAGTAGGATGTACATGCTTCAAAGAAAATAAGTTGAACAATGACGATATCGCTGGTATTACAGTTTCAGCGCAGTCAAGTTGAATAAGTAGGTACATAAAAATGAGTATCAATTATTCAAAAAATATTTGCGGTAACTGGTGAATAGTTAGACATGCAAGGTATGGGAGAAGTTATTACACGACAAGTCACTAAGGGAAATATACATATACGACGTATACTGTGTATCACTTTCTGTTCTTCAAAAAATTGCAAGATCAAGTGACAGCACTGAAATATTATAACTGTTTACCGTTATAGTATTCTTACCTACGCATATTTACAATATTTATTATATATATATAGCAAGGGCGGATCTAGAAATGAAAAATGGGGGGACTAGTAAATTGAGTTATTGCCATAATTCGTTGCGCATGTCGATTTGTACGAAGTCTTTCTTAAGTCTAAGGGGGGCTTCAGCCTCCATAGCCTCCTCCCTCCTTGTATCCACGTCTGTATAGTATAGACACGAGAGTATTATAATAAGCACAATCAAGGTGAGCTGCTATTTGTCACAGACAACCCTTAAAGGCTAAAACTAAATTTTGGTCCTGGATTCTTCAATTTCTATCAGTACCTATCATAGGTCACATTAAACTTTAAAACTAATAACTAGGACACCTAGGCACTAAAAGTCAAAATATGTAAATAATTATGTTCTTATTTTTGTCAAAATATGTATAAAAAAACGTGAAATATTTAACAAAAAAAATCGTTAATTGACATTAATTTTTAATTATTAATTAATAATTATTCATCTAATCATCTATATTGTTATCTTATTTAAGAAAATTGGTTACAACGTACACTTAGAGATTTTTAAATTTGGATGTACGGCGGTTAGGTATCAAAATCGACTTGTAGCGACTGAAGGTGCATTCAACATCGACCGAGAATAATGGGACATATTTTCTACTATATATGTCGGATGGTGTTACTTCAATATCATTTAACGTATTGCCATTTTTATTCATAAAAATATCTCTAATATTTTTAATTATTTGAAAACCAACGTCATTACCGAGTACGTAGTTTAATTTATTTTTTATTATAACTCCGGATTCTCCTTCAACTTCATTTCATTTGATTTATGCATTTTCAACTATAACAAGATTTTCAATTATTTATTACTTTAATCAAAAAACAAAAATGTGTGGAAATAAATGCTAAATGATTTTTGAGGTCATTATTTTGCATAATATCAGGTACTTATATAATAACCATTTCAGTATTTGAATTAAGATTTGAAATAACTTCTTTAATTAAATTTCAATGTAATAATTTTAATACTTTTAATATTGAAATACTTACAAAATACCTATAAGTATATTGGTAAAATATTTAAAAATATGTATTTACATCACAATATGTAAAAATATCTAAAATAAAAAGTCTCATATTATTCAAGGTATTATAAAATGTGTTTATTTTTAATCGGAAGTAAAAAATTTACATTCAATGAAATTATGTATTTAGATAAAAATCCACACCCTACTAATAACATTAAGATAATCTAAATCAGCGGTTCTCAAACTTTTTTTTTCGCGTACCACATGTGTATATTATCAGTCACGTACCATTAATTATTAAAAATAGAATCATACAAACTTCACATAGTTAAATATATTTATTTGAAATAAAAAGGCAGTAAAATACTAAAATAAAATTATTATTTATATATTACTACAAATTTATTAGTGTTTTAAATTAATATATGAGTTAAATATTGAATTTTTAATATCCGTTCTACCACCATGTAGTCTTTTGCGTACCATTAGTAGTACGCGTACCATAGTTTGAGAACCACTGATCTAAATCATTTTTTTCAATATTAAAGTGTCATTAATTCCTCCCCTCTCCTCCAATAGGCAAACAATTGATTTCGTTAAACCACAGATTATATAAAACTTAATATAATTTAATAAAATTTGTGGTTAAACCTTTAGTCAGAGCCGGCGTAAGAGGTGTGCTGGAAGTGTGGCCACAAAGAGCCTTGCAGCAATTTTTCATTGATAAAAATTATATTATAATATAAAATAGTAAATACATTGATTTTATAATAGACTTTTATAAAATATTATAAAATATCATATATAATAAAATTAATGATCATAATTACTTCTATTAATATATGTAACAGTAATTACGTATTATGTAACGTTATTTTTTCGGTCGAGTAACTGTATATGTACCACTATTTAAAGTTCCATAGAAACAAGGCAGATAACATTTAATCTGACAGGTATGAAATAAAATTAAATAAAACACGTTTATTACTTTTGGCTCACACAAAATTAAACATAAATAAAAGCTACCATTTATTTTATATTATAATAAATAAATAAATACAAGTAAATGATACATTTTTTATTTTACATGAAAATAATTAATTAAACACTGGTGCTATTTAGCATGCAATAGCTTGAATAAATATTATATTACAATATAATAAATTTATAAATAAATTTAATAAAAGTCTTCTCTATTTGGATTTATACTTCCTTGATTTATAATTTGCGCTTGGTTAAAATATAACTCAGCAATCTGAAAATAATAAAGTGATAATATTAAGACAAGCATAGCAAAATACTTACAAGTGTTGAAAAATAAAAAATTACATCATTGAAATTATATTTTTAATGAGATAAATTAAAAAATTAAATAAAATATTATTATATATTTCTAAATAATTAATGAGTATTAAAATTGATAGTAGTAGTTATAAGTGTACTAACAATAAAAAGAATAATAAAGCAGAATAAACAAAAATTAAATCATAAAAAATGTAATTGATTTTTTTACCAAAAATATATATTTTTAATTTATAAAAATCTTAATTGCATTACTTTCTTTTATTAATAATTTAAAAAGTATCGATTAAATTAAAAATGTTGATAAAATAAACTATTTTTTAAACACATAAAATTGCAAATTAAAATGATAAATAAGCACCTGTTTATTGGATTTTTATTAGAATATTTAACACTGATAATATGATTCAATTATACATATAATACACATCAAGTTATAACATAATTAAATTGCTCAAAATAATTAATTGTTTCTGTCTCAAATAATCTTTAAATAGTTATAATTCAAAACATGCAGCCCCCACATGTATCTTGGCATATATACATATAGTATATTAAATGTACTATTTGAGTTGAACAATTATATTATAATTAATATTTAAGAAAATGTAACAATTATAAAATGTATGTATAACATAAACATTATTTAAGCATAAAACTTTGTCTTATATTTTAATGTAAATACAATAAAAGCTATGAACAATTAATTATTGATATTTTTTAAATATTTTTATGGAACTTTATAAGATATATACAGTTTAATATATGAATAAAAATTTTACTATTCATTTTGATAAATATTGAAAAATAAATACAATAAAATTGTAAATATTGACGACCAGAAATCTATATTGCTCATATTTTAAAAACCTTATTAAGTCTATTCATATCGTGAATATATATATTCTTTAATATTTAGATACCTGTTGTGCTGAAGTAGATTGTTCAATAGACTTGTCATCTCGTACACGAAGAAATCTTGGAAATCTTAACGAAATACCTTTTTCAGGATCAACAATACCTATTGCAGCTCTATGTACTGGAGATAATGATAAATCAGCACATTTAATTTCCCACACCTGAACAGTTTCAAACCAATGATCTGGCTCATGACTTTGATCAAATCGATAATAAGATTTAGGATTTTCAATAACATGGTTTTTAAAAAAATCTGTATGTTTTTGTAAATCCTCATCACTAAATCCTGTTCCAATCTAGAATAAAATTTAATTTACGTATAAAAAAATTAAATTATAATCATATTCTTTAATATTTATTTATATAAAAATGTAATATACTTTGCATATGCTCTGGTATTCATCACTGTCAGGATCATAACAAGCCAAAAGAAAACCTCCATAAGTACCAGTACGTTTTCCACGACCTAAATAACCTCCCAAAACTACTAAATCAATAGTATCACCAATACCGTCTAAATAATCTTTTTTCAATTTCAACCAATTACGTGAACGCTTAGCTATTTCATATGTAGCTTCTTCTTCCAATGTTTTAACCATCAAGCCTTCACAATTTCCTTTAAACATAAAGATATTTAACATTAAATTAACTATTTAAAGTTAAAATTGCAAAAGCTGTTACAACATATTAAAAATCAAAATTTAGAATATAACTTAATAAATAGTACTGATTTTTAATATATGTATTTAATAACCTATACATTTTATTATAATATGTATGAATAAGTCTTATAAAATATAAATGTCTTATACAATAATAATACAAATCATAAAAATGTAGTTCTTTAAATAATAAATAATCCATCATCATAAAAATAAATTACAAATTTACAAAATAAACATAACATATATTTTTACACCATCAAATTCAAATGATTTGTCAATTAATTCAGAATTTACTATTAATAATCATAAATAAAAAATAATGAATATAATATTCATTATTAATTAAGAAGAATTCTAAAATTGCATTTTAATTAATTTCATACAAATATTTTTTTCTTTACCTTTAATAGACTCTTCTAGAAAATCTTGAACTTCTTCCATTGTAGTAGTATCTAAAGATGTAGCAAATAAAAACTGTTCTTCGACCTCAATAAAGTTTTCTTGTAATAATTTACGGCGTTCACAAAATGGTCGTTTAACTAATGATTCTCCATTTAAATAAAGTAAATCAAACATATACACGCATACTTGAACTTTGATATCTTCTTCATTGGCATTCTAAATTAATTTACATTTAAATATTAAATTAGATATTTAAGAAAAACTTTAATATAGTTTACCTTTCGTTTACGAGTGCTTAAAATTTGAAATGGTAAAATCTTTTTCTTTTCTCTATCCCATGCAACAGCTTCAGAATCCATCACAAAAGATTTAACATTAGGACCTTTAACAGAATCTAAACGGTTAATAATGTCTGGATATTTACTAGTATTATTTTCTTGGTTACGACTATAAATATAAATATTTCCGTCTTCTGTTAAATGAATCTATAAAGTTAAATAAAATTAAATGGTTTATAATAGTTTAAAATATATATATATGTATATAAAAAAATGTACTTGAGCTCGTTCTCCATCATACTTCCATTCACACGTAAATTTTAATCCATCAAATCTATTAAGCACTTCTTGTACACCTTTAGTTGGGTGTGCTAACATTGGTTTTAAAGGTACTCCAGGAGTTAATTTACATTTATTTGGTAATTCACTGACACCTACTTCTAATATAATGGGTATTATCATGTCAAGATTTGGACTTTCACTATAAATATATTTTAAATTAATAATAATAAATATTAATGTTAATAAAAATGATTTGATTACCAATAAGTTGTTTTAATGATTAAAGAATTTGAATCATAAAGTTTTTTAAATTTTTCTTCACTCATATTATTGGCAACGTTAAGTAATTTAGGAGGGAAATCTTGAGGTGGGGGCGTTAATGTACAAGCTAATCCGAGAGCCTAAAAATAATATAATAAAATATTTATTTTCTATTTTTAAGATACCTTATATATATGTATGTATGTATATGATAATATGTTCTGAAACACAATTATTAGAATATAAATACAATTTTATAAATATGTGATAAGCAGGGCTCATGAGTTTATGCATTTGGATATCAATTTAGCTAAGTCGTATTTAATGCTAAGTGACATAGAAATCCATTTCAAGGTACTGTGGTTAAGTATGTGAAATTTTATGATGCATATTTTTGCATATTTAGAGGTTTTTTAACTATTTGGCATATTTATGTGTTTTTCTATTTTATTGTGCATATTTTTATGGAAATTTGATTAAAATGCAATAATTTATATTTTGACACAGTATAAAATATATGGGAGTTTTTGCAACATCAAATTATAAAAAATAAGATGTATAGAGCAGATAAAGCGAGTACAAATGTACGTATACGAACGTATAAGTACGTAGCCCGCATTAAGCAATTAGTGGAAAACATGTTATGTTATATGTCTTTACTCTTATCTTCTTGATACTTTTACAGTTATTCTAGACTATATTTAAGTCATTATTGTGACAGTGTGCGGACGTTCTTTCAGTTTAACAATATTTCGAAAATCTTATATATTTTTAACTTCGTTTTGAAATTATCAATTATGCCGAAAGAAAAACCGTCATCTAAGCCTGTAAACTAAGACAATTAGTAAATTAATTTGGTGAAAATATATTCTCGGCCGACAAAAAATATTATTTTGTAAGGTTTGCAAGTAAAAGTCGCGAGTGTAAAACGCTTTAGTGTTGTGCAACATATTAATACTGAGAAACAAAACATCACTTCACGGACTGCAAAAAATTAAGGACAGAAAATATTTACAATAACTTATAACTACAACTCCGAAAAAATTAGACTTTAATTTTAAAAGTCTTTAATTAAAAAGCTATGTTAGGAGCTAATATTCCGTTAAACAAGTTGAACAATCCGCAGTTTAAAGATTTTATTATTATTAATAAAGTATGACTTTTAATAAACTTATAAAGTTTTCGTATTTTTATTTTTTAATCTACATATTTTTAGATTTTTAGTGAATATAAATGTATATTTCTGAACTTTTTAAGGCATATTTCAATGCATATTTTCCCAGCTTATAGTGCATAAGTGCATACTTATTTATGCATATTTTAGAGCATGAAATCACGAGCCTTGATGATAAGTATGGATGTAAGGATATAAGCAAAATTTTACTATTTATTAACAAGTATGGTTTTAAATAAATTGTTTATAATACAATTTTACTAATATAAATATTTTACTTGTAATGCTGATTGTTCAGCTAATCCAATTCTTAATTTACCAGCTAATGATCGAATCAAAAATCTTGCTTCAGAGTCTTGACATGCAATAAACATGGATTGGATTTTATCAAGCTTTTTTGTAAGTATCTATAATTTAAAAAAAAAAAAATTAAGAAAAACAAATATTTTATCACATGAAAAAAAGTATATCTTATTAATATTACTGCATGGCCAGTCATTCCTGCAATATCTTTTAATTTTTCAAAAACACTTTTCACAGTTAATCTGGCAGGTTTAAACATTGTTTTTTGATTACTTTTACTTTTTTCTGCAACTATTCCTAAATCACCTGTTTTTATAACATCAGATTTCACTTGCGCCATACTTCTTCCAGTTGTTTGCACTATGGCCTAATTAATGTAAAAAGTAATATGGAATATATATTATTAATTGAATTAAAGTTTAAACAGTGTAAGTTAACTTAATATAACTATATAATTTTATATGTAACAATAATTATACAAATACCTTAAGAAGTGAAGTCTCAGCAATACCTAGTTCTAAACCCATGTAATCAGGAACAACCTTATTTAAACATAAGTAAACACTAGGTAATAGATCATTCGGATTAAGTACAATTACTGAGCGAAAATAATTTGCAAGTATTTCAATCATTCTTAATCTACCACTTATTTCTTCAATACATAATAAAGTTTTTGTTAGCGCACAGTATGGAGTCCTAAAAAAAGAACAATGTGTAGTATATATTGTAAAATGAATATATAATATCGCTCAATAATTATAATTTAATTTAACAAAATTAAATTTATTATTTCTAACCATATTATAAGTCAAATATATGGTAAAAATATTAATTATTTTAATTGCAATACATTAATAAACGTAAATTTAAATTCTAAAGATTTTTCCTTATAAATAAAATAATATATTCAAGAAAAAATATATATAAATCCAAAAATTTGAAAATCATCAAACTATAATCTAGAAAAAATATTAAAATGGATTTAGTTTATATGTTAATTAGTACTATAATTTATCTATTTTCAAAAACTGTATGAATTATAATATTACATAAAATTACTTACAAAAATTACAAATTTATACTTTTTACTTACAGTTGACCATGATTCCAAAAGGCATCTTTTATAGGGTGGTAATTTTTTTTCGAAGGATCATATTCCATTTCAGATATTTTATTATGACATTCTGAATATTTTTCTTCATCTTCATCTTTAACAAGAAACAATTTCTTAGGCGATATTTTTGATTTTTCCGGTGATTTTTCTGGGGATTGTTTATTATTAGTATTGTCATCATTTGGTCCAATGTTCTTTTCATTAATATCTGATTTACTGGTTTCAAAAATAGTAGATTTTACCTGAAGTTTTGTTGGAGAATTTTCTTTACTTTTTTTTTTACTAAATCTAATTGAAAAAAATATAAATACAAAAATAATACATAAGTAATTATAACTAAAATAATTTTACTTGTCAAAAGTATTCTCATCATCACTGCTATCACTTAACAGGACTGTATTTTTCTTTCTTTTGCCATAGGTTTTTAGTGGACTATCGCGCACAACATCTAGACCTCTAAGATATAAATGTTAGATCAAATCTAAGATATACTTTGGATTAAAGGCCAAAATTGTTTAGACTGATAAAAATTAATTAATTTTACAATAATTTTACAAAAGAAAAAAATTGTTTTATTATAATATGTACTAAGTCGTTTAATAAGAATTGAATAAAATGTAATTGTAGTTTGTATCAAATTTGACTATTCCAATCAGTAGTAATTCTTGACATTTTTTATAATTAAGGGCAGTTATATACTTTGGTTTGACATATTTAATTTTCGAGTTTTGCTCATTTTAGCAGAATAAAATATAAAATTATTTCATACATACATTTTTTGAAATTTGGTTAACTCCAGCATCAAGTTTGCTTGAAATACCAATATAAAAATCTGAACTGACCCCCGATTGAGATTATATAAGTTAAAAATATTTTTATCATCCTGATTTATGTTATTAAAATTAAAAACTTAAATTAATATGAATAAATTAGAGCAATTTATAGACTGTAGAAAATATACACCATGGCCAATACAAAAATAGAAATAAAACCATTTATAGTCAATTATATTATTTATTAATTAATTACTTTTTATTTAAATTTTTAGTTTTCAGTTCAAATTAATTTGTATTTTTAAGCATAATTAATTCCTGAAATCTAGTATTAATTATTCAAAATATTGACTTACTCTGGAGATGTACTATTTGATGGAATTAGTTGAGTATTCTCCTTTTTATTTCCATTTAAGGGACCGAAATAAGACCTAATCAAATTATTATTTGATAATTAAATATTTGTTATGTTTTAAAAATGATATATTAAAAAACTACTTACATTAACGACCTTTGTGTCATTTTGTTGTTCATCAATAAAATCTTTTGACATTTCATATCATAACCTCCTAAACGACTAAGTATTACTTGAGAAAAAATCCGCCAAAATGATGTTTTCATTATTATCAATCTGTTGGTGTTTAAATTTTATCACTGATTATAATGGTTCAAAATGTACAAAACGCGCTCTGGCTGAAAAATATTAAACTTAATTACCCAGAAATCTCAGGACAAACGAGATACGTGAAATGTTAACAAATAGGTACCTACCTAGTTCATGAGTTCATATTTTATTATTTTCATCCAGTGGCGAAAAAAGACTCACTAGCACCATTGGCAAACTTAGAAATTGATGCCTATTTACCAATAAAAAATTTGATGTTATGATATTGCTTAGAACCTTTAATTTTACTATTTTTTTTTAAGAATACAATTTATATGTTATCAGAGCTGGCGTAAGGCTAAATGACGCCCCAGGCCAAAATGCTAACTGACCTTTTTTCATACAACTACCCGTAATATAGTATTTCTAAGAAAAAAATGTTGTTCATGGACAGAAATACAGAAAAATTATATAATATGCTCAACTTGTACATATTTTGTTATCGTCTAATTTTTTAATCACGAGTCATAATGGCTTGACGCGATCCCGATTAAACGATAACGAATAATTGTGAATTTTTATATTTATAGAGTAACATATATGATAAAACATTCTATGCTAAACCATAGTAACCATAGTAAATATACTCAAAATATACTTATAATATTTCAATACATGGCTAAACGAAATGACTTTATAAAACATTATAATTATCAATATTTCAATACAAAGTTATAGGTATTTTATATATATATAAAAAAAAAAAATAACATTACCGACACATGTGCAAAATTGTAAAAATCAATTTCGGCGCCCCTCTGAAAATGGTGCCCTAGACGTCCACCTGAGTCACATTACCTTCACGCCGGCTTTGTTTGTTATTATTACAATGTTAATTTTAAACTTTTTAAAATTTACTTTTCTCGATTCATCAATAATTTCTTCATAAAAAAATTTTTATATAAATTCCCTTATGTTATTTTCATAATTTCATCATTAAATTCATCGTTGTGTGTACAATTAAACAACATATACATATTTTAAAAAATATTATGGAAAAACTTTGATTTATAATAGAATAAAAATACGATTTTAGCATAAATTTGCACTCCTTTATAATTCGCGCTCCTGCCGTTAACACAGTTAGCCATACCCTTGATACACCACTGTCTTCATCAATTCCATGATCGTTGATTTATACTTATTACGTTTACATATTTTAATACTTAATGTATTTCAGACACATCAAATATCACCTATTACGATAAAATGTAAGCCCCTTAGTGTTGAAAAGGTACATTTGTTAAAAAATGTTTAAAAAAAGTCATAATTACTGCTCAATATCAAAGATAATCAATAAAATAAATCAAGAGCAGAATTCGGTTTTGGAATAGTATTTTGATTAAAACGAACATCCATTGATTCTATTAAATAGTCAAGATACATTATACACATAAAAACGGCCGATGGGGGGGATATAGCCCCCTTAGCCCCCCCCCCTTGGCTACGCCACTGGATCAACGCGAAAAGCAATGACGGTTACAATAATGTACATTAAAATGAAATAATAAATACGGACGCGAGACATGTCTCTTAACGCAATGGTAATCCACATTCAATAACCTATTCCCCCATAGACCTTATAAGGTCTATGTATTCCCCCTGCACACCGTGCCTTGAAAAACTAGATGCTGCAACGGGTCGTCTCATAATATTAATTTTTATATCTGTATTTGGATGTTTATTAAATTAACTACTACGCCACAACGGATGACAGCTTCCGTGCACGATCCGCAATTAATCTATTTTAATAATACTAATACGGTGTGGCACAAAAGTAAAACTATGATAAATATTGAAGTATATATTATATTAAAATAAATAAAATATAATAAAACCAAATTATGTATCCGTATTAAAAGTGGGTAGACATTGTCTCATTGTCTCCTATGACGTTTCGCCACTGGTTATATAAATTTTATTCCTGTATACACTGTATGACGAAATATGTAATATTTGTTTTCCGTAAATAAAGTTAGGTTCTTCTAGGCTATAATGAAACAAGTCCGACTGCCGACTGATATTTTCGTTGGGTTGTGGGGGGGGGTGTGAGACATCCCCCCAAGACCCACATTTGGGACGGCCCTAACTTTCATTCATTTCCATCAACTAATGAACAAAAAATCTTATGGAGTAAGCGAATTAATTTGCCGCCATAAAATATAAACAATGGTACTAAACTGGCAAGGCATAGAAACGTAAATGTAAACCTAATTTTGGAGGTCCTCCAAATGTGTCAATAGTTCAAAAATCTGTATTTCCAGAACAACTAGTCTCCAACTTATCTAATCTGAAATTTTTAAACGGTTCGACGTTGTTAGACAGGTATGGTTTCAAGGGGTTTTCTCTGAAGCCTCAGAAACTATTTCTTTTGCAGAAAATGCAAAAACTTAAGTTTGTTTTTAACTAAATTAATTTAATTATACGAGTATTACATATTACATAATTTTTAATTTTAATTTTAATTTTCTAGTCATAAACTCGTATATGATTGTAATATTATAATATTATTTATCATATCATTATATAATAATTAATTTTCGACTTTGTTTTTAAAGCTCTAAAAAAGGAATAATAAGTGGTAATTGTGTTATTAAAAACTTAATATAATACCACTAGAAAGTTTTATTTACGTAAAGAAATCCATTCATATCAACATATGGATGACATATGATAAACCAAACTGTACTGTGAAGACTAGAAGGTTGCTTAAAATTGCATTTCGTATAATTAATTGTTGAGAAGTACCAAAAACAACTTAAGTTATTTATATGCAGAATGAACATTAGTAGGCCCATTATTTTAAATATTTTGAAGGGGAATTATGAGTTCGATAGCGAAAATATTATAGAACAGTGTCGCCAACAGTCGTGGTCAGCTGATGATTATAGCAAGGAAGCAGTTGAGAGGTACACACTGCACATACCGATATTCCCGAGACACTACACCGGTGACCAAGTACCATGATCATGGCAAAGTAATGGCTCGTAACAGCGAGCGCGATTGGACGAACGGGTCTCTTTGTACACACACTAGCACGGCGACGGCAACAAGCGCCGGTCAACCGATAACCGAATGCCGCGACGTCATTGGCCGGATAATCTTGCACCGCCACCATTGTTTTCTCACTCTTGCTCGCTGCCTTTGGGTCATACTGTTTCACTTTTAACTCGCTATCTGCCCCCGATTGTCACCTCTCCACCACCGTCATCATCATAGTCATTTACGCCGTCTTCAATAAAATTAATTGTCATCGTCGATGAACGCTGATTTTCGAGCGGTTAATTTTCTCCGTCGCGATTTATTCCGCTGAACTATTTACTTATTTACATTTCGCATCGTTAAAATCGTCGTTGTCATTACCTCGGCGGTGCTGTTTTTATTTTTATTAATTTTTTTATTTTTAAATTACCTCGCGTTAATATCTGATTTGTAGTGAAAACGTCATCGGACTCCTGAATACTCACTACGCGTGCATCGTTATCATACTGACCGTAATAATACAAAGGCCGTGTACTCCACGATTCGGTTTTTTATTGTCCGATGTCTGGTGCTGAAGTACTAGACACTACCTGTGAATTGCCGGCCAAGAAGCGTAAACTGGCTTCCGGTGAATTGTCTACAGTGTCAGTCGACTCAGTATCTAGCAATCTAACAATGTCTAAAAACGGTGTGGGTGAAATCGACGAAGGTCTGTACTCGCGGCAGCTGTATGTGTTGGGTCACGATGCCATGCGAAAAATGGCCTCGTCTGACGTTCTGATCAGTGGTCTTGGTGGCTTGGGTGTCGAAGTTGCCAAGAACGTCATACTTGGTGGCGTAAAATCGGTTACATTACACGACTCAGTCGCATGCACTTTCAGAGACCTGTCATCTCAATTTTATTTGACCGAAAATGATATTGGCAAAAACAGAGCTGAAGTCAGTTGTCCTAAGTTGGCTGAACTCAATTCATATGTACCCGTCACCGCTTACACCGGTCCTCTGTCTGAATCATATATCAAACAATTTACAGTAATTGTTTTAACTGAATCTACATTGGATGAACAGTTGCGTATATCGGAAATTACTCATCCAAATGGTATTGCTCTTATTGTTGCTGATACAAGAGGTGTGTTCTCTCAAGTATTCTGTGACTTTGGCGAAGATTTCACTGTAATTGATGCTACTGGTGAAAATCCAATTTCCGTCATGGTGGCTGGTATAACAAAAGAAGAACAAGGTGTAGTAACTTGTATGGATGAATCTCGCCATGGTTTTGAAGATGGAGATTATGTAACATTTCAAGAAGTACAGGGTATGTCTGAAATTAATGGCTGTAAACCAAAAAAGATAACTGTATTAGGGCCTTATACATTTAGCATTGGAGATACTACATCTTATTCAGATTATGTTAAAGGTGGTATTGCTACTCAAGTAAAAATGGCAAAAAAATTATGTTTCAAATCTCTAAAAAATGCATTAGCTGAACCAGAATATCTAGTTTCTGATTTTGGAAAGTTTGACAGACCTTCCCAGTTACATTTAGCTTTCACAGCTTTTCATAAATTTGTTTCGGTTAATGGTCGTTTGCCTATTCCTTGGAGTTCTGATGATGCAAATTCATTTTTGAAATTGGCTGAAAGTATAAATACTAATTCCATAGAACTTGATGCTGAATTATTGAAGACTTTTTCAAAAGTTTGTGCTGGTAATATTAATCCAATGACATCTTTTATTGGTGGTATTGTAGCTCAAGAAGTTATGAAATCATGTTCTGGTAAATTTAGTCCAATTTTCCAATGGCTTTACTTTGATGCTACAGAATCTTTGCCTGAAGAAATTTTAGAAGAAGATGCAAAGCCTATTGGTAATCGTTATGATGGTCAAGTAGCTATTTATGGACAAAAATTCCAATCTATTTTAGGAAATTTAAAATATTTCGTTGTTGGCGCTGGAGCTATTGGATGTGAATTATTGAAAAATTTTGCAATGATGGGTGTTGGATGCGGCAATGGTAAAATTTATGTTACTGATATGGATTTGATTGAAAAATCAAATTTAAACAGGCAGTTTTTGTTTAGACCACATGATGTTCAAACATCAAAATCTGAAACTGCTGCTAAAGCTATAAAACTTATGAATCCAAATGTAAATGTAGAACCACAGACGAATAGAGTTTGTCCAGAAACTGAACAGACTTATAATGATACCTTTTTTGAAAATTTGGATGGTGTGGCAAATGCTTTGGATAATGTTACTGCTCGTATATATATGGACAGACGTTGTGTTTTCTATAAAAAACCTCTTTTAGAATCTGGAACATTGGGAACAAAAGGTAATACTCAAGTTGTTATACCAAATTTGACTGAATCATATAGTACATCTCAAGATCCTCCAGAAAAAAGTATACCAATTTGTACTCTTAAAAATTTTCCAAATGCTATTGAACATACATTGCAGTGGGCTAGAGACTTATTTGAAGGACTTTACAAACAAACTCCAGAAAATGTTAAACAGTTTTTAGAAGATCCTACATTTATTGAACGTACAAATCGCTTACCTGGATTACAACCTATAGAAATTATGGAAAGCATCAGGGTATGTGTGACTGAACGTCCTAAAAATATTGATGACTGTATTACTTGGGCTAGAATACACTTTGAAGATCAGTTTACTAATCAAATCAAACAACTTTTATTCAATTTTCCACCAGACCAAACTACTTCTAGTGGTCAACCATTTTGGTCGGGACCTAAACGTTGTCCTAAACCAATTGTGTTTGATGTGAACAATCCATTACATTTGGATTATATCTTTGCAGCAGCTAATTTAAGGGCAGAAACTTATAACATAAGTCAGGTTAGGGATCGCGTCTATATTGCCAATGTTGTGTCTTCGGTTAAAGTTCCTGAATTTATTCCTAAATCTGGTGTAAGAATTGCTGAAAATGATTCACAAATTACTAATGGATCGTCAAATTATGACCAAAGTAAACTGACTAAGGTGCAAAAGGATTTACCTTCAGCTGACTCATTAAAACATATAAAAATAGTTCCTTTAGAATTTGAAAAAGATGATGATAATAACTTGCATATTGATTTTATTGTAGCTGCATCAAATCTTAGAGCTACTAATTATGAAATTCAACCAGCTGATAGACATCGAAGTAAACTTATTGCTGGAAAAATTATTCCAGCAATTGCTACTACAACTTCAGTTGTTGCTGGTCTTGTATGCCAAGAATTTATCAAATTAGCTTGGGGATTTAAAGATTTGGAAAAATACAAAAATGGATTTGTAAATTTAGCTTTACCATTCTTTGGTTTTTCTGAACCTTTATTGGCTCCAAAATCCAAATATTATGATATTGAATGGACTTTATGGGATCGTTTTGAAGTGGAAGGCGAATTAACATTAAATGAATTTTTAAATTACTTTAAAGAAAAACATGCATTGGAAATCACTATGCTGTCTCAAGGAGTTTGTATGTTATATTCCTTTTTTATGCCAAAAGCAAAAAGAGAAGGACGGATCAACACTAAAATGTCTGAAATTGTACGTAATATATCAAAGAAAAAGATTGAATCACACGTTAAATCATTAGTCTTTGAAATATGTTGCAATAACGCAGATGGTGATGATGTAGAGGTACCTTATGTCAAGTACAATTTGCCATCAGACTTTCAATATTAAAATGTAAGTTAATTTCAAAATAAAATAAAATAGTTATTTTGAATGACTAAAATATTTTATTTACTTTTTGTTTCAGGTTTTGTCAAAGCTTCAGTTAAATTGTTGAAGCATATATTGGTTATAAAAGGTCAAGCCAATTGAGTAATTTATTGCCTTATAATTATATTGTAATTACTTTTTTATAATTTAAAAATCATTGTGTTTTTTTTATTATACAATTAAAAAATATATAATGTGTTTTTTTTTATTCAATTAAAAATATATTATAAGTTTATGTATTTATCTTTCAAAATGTCAAAAAACAATTTTATATTTATATATATCATTTTTTTTCTAACTCTGGTGTTCTGTCTAACTATAAAGATAACATTTATGTATTAATAAATGAATAATGTAGAAAAAAGTGTCATTTTTTTTTTTTTTTAGAAACTTTGTTTTACATATATTTAAATTTATTAAAAACACATAATTATATTAATAATGTAATATGAAATAAGTTTGGTCTACCTAATGATGTTATATATGAGGCATTTATATTTTTGCATACAAATCTTAGTGTATTAATAAATTTAATGTAAATAAATATAACAATATATAAAAAAAAAATACATTACATACATAATGGATTTCAATTCTAATATATTCCTACAATTACAATATTAGACTTATTTTAAGTGAACTTGTGGTATTGTTATCTTCACTATTATATATGCAATTAAAAGTTTGGTAAGCAGTGAGATTATATTATAATTGTCTCTACTCTATGATAATAATAACTTGTGAAATATCAAAATAATTCTTTCTAATATTTGTCATTATGTTTATAAAATATAAATTAGTATTTTATTAATTTGTATTTTTTGAAATTTAAATTAAATCTTAATCTAATAGTTTTATTAGTTAATAATGGATAACCTTGATTAAATTTAATTTTTTTCTGTTATTGGTTTATAAGTTTTAATGTAACAAGTTGCTATAAACTAAAAAAGCTTATGATAGTAAAGTAATAAAAAGTAATGATAGCTTATATAATAAAATAGATGAATTGCATTAATATTTTCAAGAATACAAACAAGTAAATTTGTTACCTTCTAATCATGTAACAATAAAAATCTATTAAACATCTATAGAAACATTAAAAATGAAAAATTCACTTTAATTTTCTTTGTTATACTAATATAAAAATAAAAAGTTGTGATTAAACCACTTTGAGCGTGGAAAATTCTTGGTTCTTAAACTTACTTCTTAAACACTTAGCTATAATTTTAAGTATAATTTAAAAATAATTAAGTGACTTGAATATGCTTATAAATAAAGATCTACATTAATTAAATTTTTAAATAAAGTTTTTATTTATTTACTTATATGTATAGTACGAATCTTTATTAAATACTTAAATTTTAAAGTTTAATATAAGTGTAATGTAATCCAAATAATTATAACTATGTACTGGTAACCAACTAATGGACACAACAGGGGTATAATGTATTTTTAATCTAAGGCTATTAAAATCATTTTAGTGTTGAATGTTCATTGTTTGAATTTCCTACTTACTATAGTATATTATATATTAAATAGAAGAAAATTTATAATTTACACATGTGTAAATACATTTTATTTTATTTAAGTTTTTTAGATGTCATCATTATTTCATAGATAAAAATTTTTGTTTATTTAAGTTATTTATGAATTAACAATAAATATTATACTATTAGTAAAAAAAGAAGAAAATAGTATTCAACATTTTAAAAACCTTTAATGAATAAAAATTATTTTATGTTGTTGCTTAATATTATTATTCAAACCAATCAACTGTCAGCAATTATTTATTACTTCATGAGCATAAATTAAATATATTGTACATATAATCTAAGATCAAGGAAAATTAACTTCTGTCATAACGTATATTATATAATATAACGTCTGTTATAATCATTATGAAAATGTGTTGTTGAGTGACACCATCATTAAGGTGACCATATATTTTTCTAGTCAAAACGGACATGTGCCTACCCGTATGTCTACCCCTAAATACGGGTCTGAATTACACTTATTCATCAGTAACTCATTTTTACTATAAATAACGTTTTTAAAATATATACACTTATAAGAAAATGGTCGACGATTTTGCATTTGCACTAATATTGCGGTATTTGAATATTAGAATATAATATTAATACATTTTATTAGTGTAGTTATTTATCCCAGGTTCTGCCATTCGCTGTCACCACTCAACATCGTCCACCATACAGTGTATAAACGTCACTTACACACATACTCAGTGAATATTTTAAGACATTTTCACTGGGCGACATAAAAAAAATCCACGCAAAATTAATAAAATCAACATTAACCTATCATTTTTTATGTGCCTAAAAAAAAAGAAAGATACAAACCTTGGAAACTCTAACTGTTAGAGTCTAATATACTGTCCAAACCCGTAATATATCAATAAGAACAAATAGCTTGTTAGTTAAATGTATCCTTTTTATTTATAATAATATAAATAATGGTTCATAACATATTTTAAAAGTATATAATTTAAAAAAAAAAAAATAACAAATTTAATTGTCAATATTTTAAAATGAATTATTTTTCACACTTCTTCAAAGAACTTCTTTATAAAGACATGGTCTTTGTAGGCTTCTTCATCCGGTATTTTAAATCTACGTTCTTTTTTCTGTAAAAATCTAGCTACTGATGGTCTAGGATCAAAGTTTGCTGTACCACCGCTATTTAAAGCAATGTAAAGACGGCTATTAATTGATTATCTGGAATTAGACTGCTTGTTTGATTTTAAAATGGTATGGCAAGATACAGCGAGTTCAGGCCCACAACTGTGAGGAGTAAGGGATATATATGTCTGCACGAGTTTGGAAAACAAAGTGTTTGGTGTACTTATTTTTAAAAAATAATAAAGTTTTCCAGTAAAATCTGTTATACTGCGTGGTGCTGGGAGATTATCTGTAGCATATAGCCCAATGACTTCATCGCTGAACTGACTCAGGTTAGTTTTATTAAATAATCCTTCAACATCACATCTTACAGAAGCAATCATTTCTGTACCATTCTGTGCATTTAAGAATAATTTGAGTCGACTGATTTACTTTTTTGTTCACAATTAAGTCGCTGTTGGAGAAATTCAATGGAACTTAGGATAATTTCGTTTTTAACACTTAAAACACAACGTTTTGTCGAAACATAAGAATTTCTTATCGTTCGTGTTCTTATATTATTGTCGTTGTCATCCTCATATTCTAATTCTACATCACACTGCAAGTTTTGTAAACCTTCTTCTTTTCCACCAGGAAAACAATTAGTTTTAATTATATCCAACGATGCAAGTACTGCCGTTTTCGTAGTTTCTATATCACATAAAGTGGTCATCGATTTTTGGCCTTCTTTTTGTAATTTTTCAAACTGGTAAAGTATATCCATCATTAATGCAGTATAATACTCTTGATCTCCGCCTTCTTTCCACAGATTTAAAAATCCTTTAGCTACAGATTTTTCAGTTTTATTTCCACTCGTGTTGGTGATTATTGAATTCCAATGTGTTCTTATTGATTTTAAATTATTCCATACTGATTCACTTAATTTTATAAGATGTTGAACGAATCGTACTTCAAAATGTTCTGGAGATCGATAATACTTGTTTTTTGACTGTTTAGAAATTGATTGGAGCTCTTCTATTCGTACTGCTGAGCTTCTGTAAAATGTAGCCACAGCTTTCACATTTGATTTCCAGTTTTTTACTTCCACTATTGATGTTTGTAAATCTCCAAACGCTAAATCAGACCTATGTGCTACGCACCAAATACAAAGTATCTCTTTTTTCAAATGTTCTTGAAATCTGACCCAGAGACCACTTTTCTTACCAGTGTTGGCACTCTCACCGTCGGTAGTTAATCCAGTCATATTTTGTGTAGCAGTGTGTTCTAAATTAAGGTTTTTTAAAACGATTATAACCGAATCAAGTAAGCCTTCTGCTCCACGCTTAGAAGAATGGCTTTCTCCGAGAAATATATTTTTCATAACTTTATTTTTATCAAGGTAACGGGCTGTTATGAACTTATTATCAATCGAATATTTATCAATAGAACCATCAACTTGTAATGTAAAACATTCTGCAATTTTCAATTCGTTTGTAACTGACTCCATGGTAATTTCAGCAACCGTATCTAACATTTCACGATATATAACAGGATTTTTGTAGTGAACTGCAGAAGAGGATTGTTTAAAAGAAGCAAATTTAGAATCCAAACCATGTTCTCCATAACTAGCAATTTGAGCATTAGCATGCATTTTCGAAAGTGATCTAGATGGCCAAGAATTAGCAGATAATGTCAATACTTTGCTATCATTATGGACATCGACAGCTAATTCAATTAAATTTTTAATAATTTCCGACTCATGGTTTTTAAGAATTTTCACCCATGGATGTTTATCAGCCTGTGTTAGCCATAGGCGCTGATTCTCGTCAGCTTTACGAGCGGCATTATGAGCGTCACTATGCAAATGGTCAACAATCCTCATCAATTCTCTTTTACCATCACATCTTATACCATCAGCTATTGGGACATGCCCATTGCGAGAAAACTTTATAGCTTCTGAAATTTGCTCAAAGCAAACCATGCATTTTAATCCTGATCGCTTCCCCAATTTAATTTTTTTGAGCATAGAAAATGTTTGCAATAACCAAGTAACATCATTATATGGGTGTTTAATTTAGGGTGATTTTCAGACACGGATAAGCCCAGGTAGCATACAATATAAAGAGCCCTATAATTACGAATCGTCGTGATTAGTATTTACTAAATACCAACTCGGGAGACTTCTATTATAAAACATTGATAGGTTATGAAACTACTAGTCAAGTTGTTACTATACATCGCATTTGCGATGGAATTTATTTTTCAATTTTCATTTGAATCGCCTAGTTTGCAATCCGTTTAAGTTGTTAAGTTTTAAACAAATAAATTATTGACTTAGTATACTTAAGTCTAGTAACTTAAGCTTTAATATAAAATTCTTAAAAAAGTTAAAATTAGATAAGTGTTTTTACAGTTAATACGTATATTCTTTTTCTTACCTTATGATTTTTATTAATCCACTTCGATCTCGATGTTCGTCGGATGCCGGAAAAATGCCAGAAAATACCAGAATATTTACGATAAAACAAAATTAAATATTAAGAAATTTGGCTGAAATAAAAATAGACATGTTATTACACACGTCAACGCTGCGATACGGCGCCGCGATAACGTCGTCAAATACCCACAAAACAATATAAATGAAAATAGATAATGAAGCCGATCGCTGGTGTGTATATTCGACAGTATATGGGCAACTTATAGTGATGTTAGCAATTTATAGCATTACACATAAATATAATTATTCCAAATTTCTAATTATTACTTGATGTGTTATCGTTTTTTTTATATTTCTACCAAAAAATTGTTGTCGTCCAGTTATTAATATTACAATCTACTAAGCGACAAAAAATGTTCACTGGGCGACATTAATGTCGCCCAGTATGTTAGTTAAAATATCCACTGCACATACTAGTTAAATATAATAAAAACCTTAATTCATCAAAAAATTACAATTGTCCATCTTTATTTCTTACTACTTTTTGAATCGGAGACATTTTAGTGTCCCGAAGATTCTCCGAGTTCTTGACTCTGTAAAATTGTCTCCATAGTTTCTGGGAGCTGGCGATTTCATTCATCAGTTCACTAAGTCGTCATTAACGAAAATACTTTTACCCATACGTTTAGTAATAGAAGTTTAAAAACATACGTAATTTTTTATTTTCGATCGGATATTCGTAAGTAATAAAGCAAAACATTAGAAATTTTCAATGAACAGTTTTGATCGGGACATTTTAGTCTTTTGTCGGGACGTCGGAACGTAGAGCTCATTAACGGTGACCATCCTGATATATCGGGACGGACAGCAACCCTAAATAAATAGTCTATGGATATAAAGCAGTGCTAGTCCATTTAATCAGTCATCGCTAGTTGTTGATCTCAACCATGTCTTCAATCTAAATATATAAAGTAAATCACATGCTTATTAAAATATATGTATAACATTGGAACATTTTAAATAAAAAAAATTTTAATCAAAGAATTACTTAAAATTAGGGATCCCAGATTTATTTTTAAAAATACGGGACATTTTAAATCATACCTATACTTGTCATTTACATTGGTGTTAATATGTGGAATGGTGAGGGGACTTATGTTAGCAATTAACATATTACCATATTACAAAATGTTTGTTATGCAAATTCTTTGTAAACATTTGGTAGCTAAAATTACATTTGGCCTCTATGTAACATTAAATTTTTCTCACAGTTACTAATTATACTATAAAATAAAGTTAAAAACAATATTTGATACTTCAAACAAATATAAATTTAATTTAAAAAAAAGTAATAAGATAGGTAACTTTCCTATAATAAAAAAATCATGATTTTAATTTGTTTTTCAAATTATTTTTATAAATGAATATTATTAGTTATCATTTGATATAGATATTATAGTTTATGAATAATTTAAAATTTAAAAAGCTACATTATGTGAAAACATTTAATTTTTAAAATAAGGTACATACGAGAAGGATTATTCAAAATATGGGATAAAATTATAATTTTTAAACTTGTGTCGGGATACCCGGACACTTCATTCAAACACAGGTCAACCCCATAAAATACAGTACGTATAGGATCTCTACTTAAAATCATTCAATTTTGTAAGACTAATGCATATTTTTTATGAAAATACTCATATAAGAATATTATAAAAAGCTTTAGCAAAGAAAATTATGTAGGTACTTATTTTTCCATAATATAAACAAATAATAATTTTATTTTCAGTATAGTGAAGTAAACTAGAGGAGTAAACTTTTAAATTATTTGTATTATATACCACTAGGTATAAATACCAAATAGTTAAACTAAATTATTAGTTCAACTTAATTATTAGTTATTAAACTAAATATAATAATATAAACTAATATACCTTAAAGTTTAAGATTTTTTTTTAAAGTTTATTGAGTAATATAGAATACTTAAAAGTTAAATTTAAATAAAAGTTACATTACTTATAATTAGAAGGTACCCTTTAAGTCTAGGAAAGATGCGTCTTACTAAAGCAACACTAATAGCTATCTAATAAACATATAATATTAACAATATAATGAATATTTGGAAACATTGATACTGGACATAAAACTAGAGCGTTAGCCCATTATTTATAATATTTTCCGCTAAAAAAATATTGTATAATACATATATAAAATTAATGATATTAAAATGTTAATTTTATATATTATCCGTAGTTAAAACAGAAAAATATTTTACTATCAAATCATCCATTAAATTTAAAAAAACCAAATCACAAGGGGCGGGGAGATTCATCCATTACTCCTTCTTTTGTAGATTTTGTAAGTTTATGGTTTAAGAATGATGGAAAGGACGCGAAGTAAGCAATATTATATTACTAATTGATATTTTAATCGTCATGAAATCACAATTTATTCATTTTGAATATGTACATTAGTAATTTATCATCAATTTTTGAAAAATGTTTGTTTTTGTTTAAATGTTGAATTTAATTTTAATTAACTGAAGAATCATAAAGATCATAGAGTAAATTTACCATAGTTCATTTGGAATTGACTACGGAACAACAACCAGACATCTCCATTTTTTGGCAAAATCGTTTTTTCAGTTTTTAATATTACAAAAATATTTTACGGCGATTGGTGCAACAACCAGACAAATCCGATCATTAAATACAGAGATTTGTACAAACGGAGATATCTGGTTGTATGGTACCACTGCATAAATATGTGTTAGTTTTAATTTTGTTTTTTAATATTTTATGCAAATAAAGTATTATCATTGGTTATTAAGTGACTGAAATTATGTTATTTTTAATTTTGTTTTATAATAAATTGTAATAAAATAAATTTATAATAAATTGATTGGATTTCAGAATTAAACATAAAGAGTTTAATGATATCATTTATTTCTTACAAAGTAAATATTTAATATATTGATTTAAAAAATGAATACTTTAAAGATGTTGTAAGGAATAATATTATATAGCTTAATCTCATAATTTTTTTTCTTTTGTATAGCTAATTTTTGTAAATTTTTAAAACTATTTATTAATTTTTAAAGCAATTTTTTGTTCCTTTTGAAAAATTGGAGATGTCTTGTTGTTGCTTCGTGGTCTTCATACGTGTGCGTAGTAAATGATTTTTGATGATGAGGAAGACCGGCGATAACAACTAGATTCTGAATACTCAATTACGAAATAATTTCAGATTACCTACTTAAGACTGGCAACATATGAGCGTTATTTTAACGGCTTGACATTTCTCAACTTGGTGATTTGGACAAAAATTCTTGAGTGTATGATGTCATGTCAACTATGGTGGACAAAAACATTATTTGTTTTTGAGTTATAGCAAATTCAAACATACCCATATGCTTTAATTTTTTTTCTCGACCGTATCCTGGAGTGGGACACGTCATTGAGTTTGATACAATAAAACTGTTTGATCCAACGAGAAACTAATTTTTATTTATTTAAACCTAAAAGTCTGACATAAGTACGAAAATTCAGAGTATATGGAAATCCGTAAAAGTATTTGAACTCATCGTTATTTTTTTAAGTTATTGTGGAAGCCGATTTTTGAATACGTGTTTAACTTCCTTAAAAAAGACTCATTAGTAAATCTAAAAATGTTAAACAATTTGAAAAAACAAATTAGCATATAAGCATATATTTAAAGAATATTATCAAAGTCGATTCCCACAACAACCTAGAAAGTATGTCAATAAGCTCAAATATTTTTACAGAATTTAAATCCAATCATTCTAAGTAAGCATGATTTTGTTAGGATTATTCTTATCGTAATGTCGAGAAGAGCGTTCGTGATTCCAAGAATTATAGAGTGTCTCATCGCACATGCACATGTCATCGCCGCGACACTCGCAAGAGACGTTTTTATTTTATTTAATACATATAAAACCCAATAGGTAGACAACTTTTTGACTACTTACGATGGGTCCGTTTCAATTCTGTAAAAAGATATAGCTTGTCGGGCTTTTAACAAGGTTGTGTTGGAAATCAATTTCTATTTAAAAAATCGGAAACTCGAAATTCAAAATGTTATAATTGAAACATTTTCAATATTAAAGCGTCATTTACTAATACGAAAAAAATAAAATTAAAAATATATTTCCAGTATAACCTAATAAAGTAGTAAAATAATTCAAGAATTGAAATCTGCCCATCTTAAATAATCGAAAAGTTGTCTTTTTAGATTAACCGGACTGTTTTCAATTTTCGTAATGGTTTTAAAATTTAACTGCAGTTAAATTTTAAAACCATTATAGCTCTGTAAATAAGGCTATTCTAACATGTTAGAATAGCCTTATTTACAAAGCTCTTTAAGTACTACTAAAGCTGTAATAATCATTAGTTATCATTACCTCAAGTAATATCATTTTAATACACGGTTTAGATAAATATATATTTTGTATTTTTTGAAAATAATTTTGCAATATTTGATTTCCTAGAATTTAAACAACAGAGAAATAAATTAGTTATGAATAAAAACTTATATTTTAATGTTGAAATATATCTAAAGATATACAAGTAAATGTTTTAATATTATTATTATATATTATTTAATATTATTATTTAACTAATATTTTAATTTACATTATCATAGTTATACATAATTTAAAATGAAAATCATAATTATTTATAGGTATGTTCTTTATTCTCATGTATGCTGTATGAATGTATGTTTTTTTTGTTCTACATAAACTTATAATACACAAAGGTTAATGAAATATCGCAGAGTTCCTTAATAAGAAAAACCACGAAAACAACCTTATATCC